ATAATTTTAGATTTCTACATCATTATATTTATTATACGTACATTTCCTTGTAGATATTATCGGATATAACGATGACAGTCATTAAAAATAACATTTCGCAAACAATTGGTATGTTCAAGCATTTTAGTAAGTCTGTTCCATATTACAGACTGTACCATTTGTTATTATCATTGTTATAAACCGTGTGTTTCTCCTTTTTTGACATTTATATTACTCTATAGGTTTTCTATCTATTTTCTTTTTTAAAAATGTCTACGGTAAGTAACATGTTAATTGTACCCTAAACGCTGCCCGTGAGGTCCCTTAACATTTCTGTTCCGCCTTTTAAAGCAACCAACCCACAACTATGGTTCATAAGACTCGAAAATTATTTTTTGTCCAATCTTACCAATTTGCAAAGAAATAAGTTCGTTCATGCAAGCACGCTTCTCATAGACAAATTGGCGGATATTGTGCGAGGAACTTTAGCCAAACTAGAAGAAGTTATCAGGGTGAACGTTTAATGAATCTACGTGCGCTATTAAACATTACTGAAACCATTGGGAAATGTAAAATCGGAACCGACTCTCTAGTTTTTTTCGACACATCACTGGTACTCAAGGCATCCGTCTTTTGAACGGCAAATTGGTCGCTATTCTAGGTTATCGAGATCTAACCATAATCAAGCAATTACGCATGTCCAACTGCCTGATAGGTTCTTATCGGTGGTCATACCGAATCGAGCGTCTCTCATGAGACGCTTAACAACCAACTTCGTGGAAATGTGAATCTCATCAATTAGGACGACATCTCAAAGAAAGCAGTTAGGGACTGATCACCAGATCAACATTACTCGGACATCGAAGCACCTATTAGCATCGCAACTCGGAAATCGGTGGATTCTAACAACAGTTGTTAATAAGACATGGAAACCTTTGACATTCTTCTCGAGATGGTTGCAATATACTGAATTGAGATAAAGCACTTACGGTAGGGTGCCCCTAGACATGTACTGTGTTGTACAACACTTTCAACACTCTGTAGAAGAAAGAGAATTCACTGCCTACTGATCACAAACCTCTCACCCTCTCTTCAAGCTCATCTTCAGATATCCTACCTCATGTTTACAATATGTATGTGTACCAGTTTGCTTATCTTTTTTTCGCACGCTTTGTGTTCTCACGCACGCACGAGCGTATTTCGACATGCGAGTTACAATTCTCTTGTTTATTTTCCAGGATAGCTCGAAAAGATGAGTAAAAAACTTTATCATACATTTTTTCCATTGTTATATTTTAACAAATGGCCCTTTATATTGGGAAAAAACAACTAGATGCTGGTGAACATAGCAAGTTATTAGGAGAATGTTTATCAACAACAAGGTCGTTGGGTTTAAACTCCTGACTGGCCACTATCCACGTCAAAGAACAAGGCATTTTTTCAAGCAAAGAACGTAAATCTATCCATATTGGACAGGTCAAATCAATCAAGTCGAAAGTTAATAATGAAACACAAGGAACCAAAAAGACGGACGGAGAATTAGGCGGGTAAGTAAAACAAAGCTAACGGTTAATAAGAGCATTTGGTTCGTCATGTCCAACTCAGTGGTTGGTTGCAAACAGATTGAATAAGAACAGAAAATAACAATATTCCTCAATGTACATATAAATATTCGAATTGACTGGCACTACTTAGGTATGTTTGTTACCTTTTGTGTAAGAGCATAGGCCGGTCACCAGCAAACTCCATGGAACTATCCTAGAAAATCCTTCCCAATTGCTATTTATCTTGTTCATGTCTGCTTCCAATTCTCGACGTAGTGTCTCTTGGCTTTTCTCTTTTCCATTTCCTTTCAAAATTCCAAATTGGGGGTTGCCTTGTGATGCAGTTTAGTGATTTCTACAGTTGGTGTCCTATCCACTTCCAGCATCTTTTCTTAATTTCCCCTTCGACTGGAAGCAGATTTGTTCTTTTCCACAATATGCTATTGCTGATGGTAACTGGCCAACGGACACTGAGTATCTTGTAAAGACAACCGTTCACAAATACTTCAGCATTTTTGATGATGGTTGTAGTAGTTCTCCAAGTTTCAGCTCCATACAAGAGATCTTGACGTTTGTGTTGAGGACCCTGACTTTGATATTGGTTGACAGTTGTTTTGAGTTCCATATGTTGTCCAATTTTAAGAATGCTGTCCTCTATTTGCTAATCCTTGCCTTTACGTCTGTATCGATGATGCTTCCCGGGTAGGTGAAGGATTCTACATCTTCCAGTTTCACCATCAAGTGATTGGGTTGGTGTTCTCCGTATTGCATTTGAGGAACTTACTTTTCCCTTGTGTATGTTGAGGTCTACTGATGTAGAGGCTGTCGCTATACTAACCGTCTTCATCTGCATTTGTTCGTGGGTATGAGATGAAAGAGCTAAGTCATCTTCAAAGTCCAAATCTTGTAGTTCCATCCAAATTGTCCAGTGTATTCCATGCTTCCGCTCAGATATCGAGCTCTTCATAATTCAATCAGCCATCAGAAGAAAGAGGAAGGGAGAGTAATCATACTTGTCTGACACCGGCCATCACTTAGAGTGCAACTGCCAGCTGTCCTCCATGCACGACTCTGAAGTGTAGTCCATCATATGAGTTCCAGATAATATTGACAATTTTCTTAGGAACTGCACGGTATCGAAAAACTTTCCATAATGTTCTCCTATCTACACTGTCAAACGCCTTCTCATGGTCAATGAAGTAGATGTACAGTGCCGAGTCCCACTCAAATGATTGTTCGACGACGATCCGTAGTGTCGCGATTTGGTCTGTGTACGGCCGATCCTCACGGAATCCAACCTGTTGGTCTCGAAGTTGTACGTCTACTGAGTCTTTTATCCGGTCTAGCAAAACCCTGTTGAATACTTTTCCTGGTACTGACAGTAGTGTGATGCCTCCGTAGTTCTCACATTTGCTCAGGTCTCTTTTTTGGTATATTGATGAGGTGTCCTTCTTTGCAATCTGTCAGTGGCACTTGTTTCCCCTCCTAAATCTTCTTGAATAGAAGGTGAAGCATGTTTGTAGTTACTTCAATATCTGACTTCAGTGTTTCAGATGGTATGTTGCTGCTTTCCCGCTGTTGATTTGTCTAATGGCCATCTTGATTTCTTCGATCGTCGGTTGATTGACATCTATATCTCCTCATTTTTGTTGCTATTTGAATGGTCCCCCCATATTGTTCAGAAGTTCCATTTATCTATAAAATTTTTTGCTTTAGTTGTTAAAAGGGGCATCGACCGCGTGACTTCTGAAGAATCTCGGCCTTCATCATGAGGCATCATAATTCCTCCTTCAACTCAGAGGGCAGAGTTTAAATGGTTTAATTTATTCCGAATAGCACTCTTTTGGCACAATTGTTTTCTACGGAATGGGGTTGCTGGCCCCATGCTCAACCTTCCTCCTTTAGCCGGGCTTGGGACCGGCAGTGGCCCTAGAAGAGTTACAGGCGGTGTTAACTGATATGCACAGCGGTAAAAAATGAAATCTGGATAAATTGAATGGACACAAATGGACTAAAGTTGTAATCGATAACACCAGAATTACACTAGATAGTATTCATATTGATGCTGGTTTTAGAGCCACCATTATTTTTACCAAAATAGAAATAAAACTAGAAATATGATATCCATGAACTTTATTATTATAAAATAAACCCATGATTGCATTAAGCACATCCACATGTGTTGTATTTAAATGAGTCTGCAGTATCATTCAGTCAACGAGTTTTAATTATTTATGGATCAATAGAATAATGGAAAATGGTTAACAGAAAAACAGATAGACAGGCACATATACAGAGACATATTGTATAAGGCGTCCGAATTAGTCACACAGCCGAGCACAAGTTAGTTAATACAATCGAATCAACACATTTGACGGTCAGAACTTGTATTCCAAAATAAGTATACAGTTGTATGGATTTACCATACCTATAATACATGTTCCAACAACCTCATTTGATGAAGACTCACTATACATATTGTAGTTTTCAAAACTTTTTACTACAAATGTTTGTACACACCAATTTCAAATTAAGCCCAATGGGCTTCCTATTTTATAGGTGTTTTCTTATTTGGTTATCAATGTAAGGTTGATTTTTTGAGCATGGTATGACATACCATTCAAACTGAACAGTTAAATCATACATGCTTTGTTCAGTGCTGATTCCCGCAAACTGTATGATATACTTAAAATGTGAACTCCAAAAAGAGATTTAGTCAATAGCCAAAGTTTGGATGTCACTTTTATATCATTGGCCTAAAAGAAGACTTGGTAAAAACACAAAATACTAAGCATTCTTGACGGAGGTTATCCAACGAATGACAGCTGGAGCCGTGACAAACCAGTTACTCGCTGAAACAGAATATCCAACGCGATGCAATAGCGATCATCACATCACAAAACCAAATACTTACTAAAAGTAGTAGAAAACTATAGTCTAAGATGAATTTGTAAGTAACGTTTACAATACCCTTATTCATATAACTCCAATCCATTGCAACTCTAGTCTTATTAAACTACAGCAAAATTATGGCTATCGAACGAGCGGGATATTATTCTACTAGCCATACGAAGTTGTCGACAGGATTAAGATAGCAACTTTATTCTTACGATTAATCTACAATTGTGTATTGGTTATTACAAGCACAGAGAATCCGGTGGTCCATATTTTGATGAAGTTTTAACAACTTGCTTGGTAATACCAAACCACTTCACAACGTTACATGATTTAGTGTGAACTATTCACAAGGCAAATGCAAAGCCCTTGTTTTTCACCAATCAGCCTGAATATTGATCAACCTTTCAAGATTATAGACTGTCAAATTTCAGGTGTAAATAAATTCCGGATTTAGTGGCATGTTCCATCTTGAGATCGCCAGATACAAACTCTGTTTATCAATCCTTTAAAACCTGTTATCATGGACAAACATTACCAAACACTCATTTATCATGTTAAAGTATAAGTTGGATACAATTCTTGCAGAGATGTATGACACTTATGTATTAAAAATTAGCAAACAATTTAATACTACTACAGAACGATGGTGGTGACACATTATCTAGACTTAAAAATGATTATTAAAAAGTCATCAAACATCTCATGTCCTTCGGAATGTCGAAACAGACAATTACAGTTCTTCATTCACAAAACTCAATCAAATCAGCTGTCAATGAAATCAACTTAATATTGTAAACACATATGAAAAAGTAATCTAGTTTTCTAACATACAACAATATTATTCTATGTAATTCGAAAATACGTTGTACAAACATGGAAAGTATAGTTATAGAAAGAAATCTCCAATTGAATTCTAAAACGAAAAAATCTGAAGGAATAAAAACTTTACAACAGAAAACTTTCGTAGACTAGAATTTATATAAAGTAAATACAAATTATAATGCAGTTATTAGTAAATATATTAATTAATCTTGCAGACTGAAATGGGAAAAATGCTTTTCGACAGAAAATAACAATTAAATATTCAGTACTTCACCGTACACTTAAAATGTTAAAGAAAGTACATAATACGATTCATATACAACCGGACGGGAAGGTGAAAGTATAAATGTAGCTTTTATAATTCTCTATACATGAAATCATTAAGGAATAGAACATTTTGTCACAAACAGTTAGAACATAAAGAAATCTGGTTAGGAAGAGCATCACGACAAGGACAAAAACGAGAAAATACATTAGATCCATTAAGAGTTCCTGAGGCAGTACAATCAAACCATTCATGACTAGCTTGAAAAACACATGAACTTGTTGCATCGTCCCAATATGGTGCCATCGGACTAGTTGTGTAAGTAATATTAGGACAAGAAACACCGAAATGCTGAAGGTTAAGTCGATGATTAACACTTGGAAAGTGTTCTGGAGAACAGCGAAATGTATAAAGATAGGACAAGTTTTGCGGAGGAGTAGCGTGAACAGAACGATAGTAAAGGTATCCGTTCTGTATTTGGGGATGTTGTGTTTTGTTAGAAATGGAGGAAGCAGAAATATCGGAAGGCAGTAATAAAGTATGTTCTGAAGTTCCCAGATTCATACACACATCTGCACAAGATTTGCCACGAGATCCCAAAACTATCTTTAAACTTGATGCTGGAGGCCATGAAACAGTAGTGCTGGGGACATCTAGGTAGTTAAATTTAGGAGGCGCATCAGATTTTGCTATCGGCAACGGAGACTGAATCAAGTTTTTGTAAAAAGGTGCGGCGCAGATATCTTGGCGTGTCAAATAAGCATTAAGACGTTCAAGAAAACCCCACGGACTATATTCGTGAGGACGATAGGTTCCGTTCTAAAATTAACAAATGGTAATTAAACACTCAGCAGAGCTGCATAACTTATTAGATAAAAACTCATAGATTCAATCCATCTCTATGAAAAAGCTGATATTTTATAACCGATTATTAAGGGCTAACATATTTATATAGCATATTTATTTTAAAGTATAAAAGGTTTGTGTTTTAAATCCAACGAATTTCACCATGTTATGGTAAGGTATACGATATCTCAGGTTATTAGGATTTTTAATCAACATTTATTCTTTTAGGTTAAACTCAACCTTTCAACTGAAGTCTATAAACTACTTCTTGACTGTTGCTTTTTGAAATATTAAAAGTTGACTCAGTGAGCCAATCGGATATTCCCTAAACAATCAGTTTACGCTGTTGGCCAAGACTTAACGTCATTTATATATATATATATATATATATATATATATATATATATATATATATATATATATATATATATATATATATATATATATATAGAGTAAATGGTTTACTTAAAGTTATGATGATAATAATAATAATAGCTACAGTGAAAACCAGAAATACTTAAAAATGAAATTACAATGAAATCTTACAGAAATGTTGGTCAGAATACGTTTGACAGTTAAGCGTATCTGTGTTTCATTGTTCATATCAACCAAATATGAGTAAGGTTCACCGATATGATTTTCTATGTACGGATGTTGGCTGGTAAGCTGTACAAATAGAAAGAAAAAGTGGTCGTGACGTGAGAATAGTTCATGCATTATTACTTGTAAGTTATTTGGGGTTATAGAAGTATATTACAAAACCCGTATTTCTAAAGAATAGAAATAAGATTACAATAATAACCTCCTTCGTATGTGTATATCTCGTTTCAAGCTACTAAGATTGAAATCATCGAAAGAAGTGTGAAAACATCATAGCACACTAATCAATTGAATAAACACAAAAGCAAAGCGAATTTGTCATTCATAGAAAAACCATCATTTATCTATAAAATTATCTTAAACTTTTGAAGGAAATAGCCAGCTAATCAATAAAGACGTGAAACCTGTGACAGATGTGAATTAGCACTAGTTGGTATTTTATGTTAACACGACAAGCTGTAATTAACAAGATGAATGGCAAAGAAGCCGAAACAAGATAGTAACGATAATAATCAATAAAACCAAACATTGACGATATGGTACAAAAAAGACGAAATGAATAGGTATGAGTGGAGAAATATTGGAACTGAAGAGATCTAGAGGACGACAAAAAGCGAAAGCATATTTACCGTTGTAATCCAATATCATGATTAATGGCACGATAATAGATGTAGTGACTAAATTGATGGTAATAGAAAAGATTAGGAATAAATAATATGATTTCAGAAGATTGAATTTGTCAGATGATTTTAAAAACTCAAGAACTAAAATAAGACAAAGAATTAATGCGTTTTCCCACTGTGATTCATTTTGAGTTACGTCAACCAACCACTGTAGCGATAATTTTGTAGACCCCAATCAGATTTCCTACATCTAACAACAAGGCTCAATCCAATAACAAGTGATCTTACGGACTGACCTCATGTCTTGGTTTAGCCACCCTAATTTACTCAAACATTGGCTAACATCTCCCCTCAAGGTAGGTAGTGGTTAGGCGCACGTGACATGTTCCAACCACTCTCAGTCTGTGAAGATTCACTACCTCATTAATAAATTTATTATGTTTGGCTAGTGCCCTAGTGGTTAAACACAATATCGCTCTTTTAAACATTCCATGATACTCAGGAAATGCTTCCAAGATATCTATGATAAACACACCTGAAGCTTATGCATTTCTTTTACCTTTACAGACGATGTTTCAGTTTTAAAGAGTAACACAGAGCCGACTGCTGAGGACTATACTAGACCTTTCGTTAGGCACACAGACATCTTGCCAACGCTACAGGTGACGCTATGTCAGAAAATACAAGAGAACTTTTGGAATCTGTATCTAGGTATCTTAGCATGCCAATGCACCAGAGATGATGAGACTCAATATAAGCGAAGTTGTGATTAGATTCAATTACCTCGCTCTGTATGAACAATCTAGTGCTGAAGCAACATAAGTTTAGATAAAGGAAATCATATCCCAAACATGCTTGCATGTTACCCAATGTGATCAAGAGATTGCATTATGTCCGAGTCTACATTAAATAGGGAAGAATTTCAATTTGGTAACGGATAATAATCTCAAAGAATAAAACTCATCACTTCAAATGGTCAATCCAACAGCCTTAAACAAACGTGATTGGAGGAATTTTCGGTTAATATTCCAGTAAATAATTAACTCTAATGGAGAAGTATGCGAGCTGTTTAGTGTACTGTGGTGGTCAGGAATATGTTTGTAGAACGAATTTAGCTTATGATACTTGAAAAAGTGATGTACAACGTTTTATTCACTATACTAACGTCTATCTGAGAAGCTGACCACAGACGTCTTAGAAATATTTCTTGCATCCACTGGGATCATCGGGTAAGTAATAGAGGTTAGACGCAGATGATGAGGTTGTAAATCTTCATCGACTGAGATAGTTGGGCGACGTGTTACGTATACCTGAACACCGATTACCACGACGCACAATGCTGACTATTGTTGGAGATGGCTGAAAGAAAGTTAGGGGCGGCCAAACCAAAACGTGGCATCAGTCCTTGAAGACACTAACTTCTAGTCTGAGCCATGTTGGTAGATGCAGACTATTTGGTTGGGGTCCGCATGACTATCGTAACAGATAGTTGGAGACTGTGGGCGACATGACTTAGAATCGATCATAATGGCGTCGGTATATACGCGCACATATTAAATAAATGGGAAAAAGCTCGAAAATGCTTGACATTGAACATATAACCTCTACCATTTGCAACCATATAGGCCATTTAATACCGGCTTCATAATAGTCATTTCTTTACAGCATTATACACAAATACGGATAAAAAAAGCATTAAGGGTATAGTGAATGAGAACTCAAGTATGGAAAACCAATTTATTGTTTATTGCAAAATCACACAGTGGCTTAAACATGAAAATCATACATTAAATACATTATTTGCGCATCTTCCTACAGTTGCCTTTTACACATTTCACGATTCTTTTAATTCTGTTGTTATTCCAATCGCTCTCTATTTCCCGTCCCGTTCTCTTCAATTCAATCTGATATCGACAGGTATTCCATTCCCAACTGCTGTTATACACTACTTATATCTTTCAGCATAAGTAGCATACACCACAGAGATATGGATTTAGTTTGTTACATCGTAAATAACTGCAGTTACCTTAGGTGTCTTTGAACAATGTACACTTCTACATGGTTGCACATAATTGTAAGCATTAAAATAGCATTGTGAAACTAGGATATATGCACATTTGCTGAACATTTTATCTCATTTTTCAAATAGAACAAATTTAAGTTAAAAATTCTAGTATCTATTACATTTTCTAAATTAATAACAGAATAAGTGTATATTTCACAATGATAAACTATTTACATACATCATTGGATTTGACTTCCAGTTTGAATAATTGTAAAAATGAACATCAAATTGATGAGATAAACAAAGGTAGAAAACATTAAGTCAGGGGTGTTACTTTACCCAGATATGTGCTTATTCACTGATTATTCTACACATAAGTATCATTGATAATTTTACCTTATTTTTCACAGCAATAAACTGGGGTCGGTAATAAAACTAATCCATAATTTCATGATTAATATAAACATTGATATTTTATTAAGGTCAAAGTTTAATGATAAAGACTAGCTTCGAGAGGATACTTCCGGAGTTTTAATGAGAAGCCGTGACCATTGGAGCTAATCCGTGTTGGATATTGTCAATTGAACAGAAGAAATCGAATGAACTAAGAATGTTGTACCTGTTTCTGTAATTTTGGGCAAGCTGTAGAAATTCAGCTAACCACTTACCTATCAAATTATACGAATAATTATTCATATAAAGTATGGGATGTAGGAGGATATTCTTTTTATGAACTTTTGGGAGTCCGTATCTTTGATTACTTATATTGATTCTCTGAATCATCCCATTGATTTTTAGGATTGCAATTGATGAGTTTCTTTTGGCATGTATTCATCTTATGTGGATTACCTCAAAATAGACAAAAATCTAGAGCATTTTTAAGCAGAGATGAACGGTGGCTAGCAGTGAGAAATTGATAAATTCTAGTCCTAAAGATCAATGGAAAGATTCAAACGACCGATACAAATGAACTAAAATTAACCCCATCGAACAGGTCAGGGCTTATTTGGATTTAGTATCTAAGTGAATAGTGTCCTGGTGTTTGAAGCAAAAGGTACTCATTTGGAATTCTAAAATGAACATCAACTCCGGGATCCAGGTGAATCCAATTGACAAGTCCCAAACAGGATGAAACGCATGTTCTGTTTTGTTTTGGTAGTCACTACCCATTCCTACTTATTAATATCTTTGATGCCAATTTCATCCTGGCGGCATTAGCATAATTAACTCATCTTTTCGTCGACTAAATTACCAAACTCTCTAGATAAATATTCTAGTTCTATCTTTGATAAGGAGGATAAAATTTACATTAGTTCAATCGATTGTTCAATCATGTATCAAAGTTGCTTAGATAACTAAATATGACATTGGACTCTATTGATTATGCTAGTATCAACTTCTAGTAAAAGTGGTATGCCTCTTAATCACGAGTATTATCTTTTAAAGAAGTGACTGTTAGAGTAATTAAAATGACTGAAATATTTTTCAGAACTTAAATTGTACAAACTTGAATTTAAACACTTTCCAAACAAATTATCCACACAGAGTATAGGATCTATTTTTGCTACAATAAAGATTTTGTATATTTGTTGGTTACTGAATTTTAAGTTTACTAATTCGTTACTTTAATTCCATAGGAATAGAAAATAAATTTATTCGAAATTGTCATATGCTTGTATCAGTTTTGGATTTGTGTACGTCAGTTTGAATTACTGTTAAAGTAATCGCTTTTACTAATTATAGTTTATCTTTTTTTATAAAAACAGAATGAGAATTAAATAGATAAGCATTTCATGGTTGTACAGTCGATCATATAATTAAGACTTTGAATCAATGATTTGACGACTACACCTCAATACATTATATTTTTAACAGGTTTCTGAAACTTGTTAGGAAGAAAACTGATTGTTTTCTGGCAAATGCCGGTGTTTTGAATAGCGAAAGTGAATAGTGTAAATTTAAGTCACCAATGAAAGATCATTTCAAAGTATCGATTCTTTATTTTAACTAATTTCCTACATCTGTGAACGGGTTTCCTGAATCATTTTAATCAAAACTCGAATAAAAAACTGATTGATATCATTAGTGAATTAGATATTAGTCTTATATTGATGAAGAATTCGGAGATTTTTAACGAACTGCATAATTTGAAGACTGATAAAATCAGAAATCATGCATGTGGAAGTCACCTCTAGTTACACAGTCAACTTACCCTTCATGTATCCCTTCGTGACAATCCAATTATGAGTACGTATTGTATAATACTTGTGAATTGTAACCTTCTCCATCTCAATTTGTTCGGTCATTTTCATCTGAATTGCACGTCGTTTGGTTTTGCATGTAAACGAATACAGTGCTTTGTAAAGTTTGAAGACTGCTCCAGTGAATTATTCAAGCGTGTTTCAGTAAGGATTGAGTCAATGTTTAAACATACAAATTATTCCCTACTTTTATCTTCGTAATAACACTGGTAGGTCACTTTTAAGATCATGGTGATAAGCATAAATATGATTACCGTCTAAACACACATAATTGAACCTAAGAAGTACTCACTCCGTATCGCCACTGCATATGAACGATCGCTTGGATATAGTAAAGGTTTAATACAACGAGTTATCGAATATCTACAGTTTAGAGGGGCTAATCAAGAAGTCGAAATAAACTTACTGAAACGTCATATTGCCGAATTATTAAAACAAATGAGCGATGAGATATTGTACCAGGTTGGCATAATTTGTTCTGGCTTTCACTATCCTCAGATCTGTTTCATCTGTGGCGTCATCATCAGCACTTACACAGCCATATTTATTATAAATCAGAAAACAACACAACAGCATGAGAAGCTATGTCAGCATTTACCAAAAATAAAGTTGAACAATTCGCTTCGAATAAAGATAAAATGATTATCGAAAACAACGTTGTAAGGAATTGCTGACACAAGGATAATCAGCGAGGAAAGGAAAAATATAGATCATCACGGGTGTAAAGCGAAACCAAAATACTGAAATAATTGATTAAATGTATAAGACTAGTGCTTGACCATTAACCACAGACGAAATTACTGACTATTTCATTACGAACTGATCTTAGTTGAATGTCTAATGAGGTTAATTACGAAATTCAGAAAATATCAATAAAGCCTCTAAAGTACAAACTTTTACTTACTGTTATGGCATATCGTATTAAAAATTAGCGAGCTAAGAAGATGAGGCTTACCATGTCTCTATTATATTTGATTTCAGATACACATTCCTAGTACAGATGAACCTTTGCTTCTGAAAGTATATCACATAGATTCACTTTATCATAATCTATTATTACTGTAACTCGGATAACATTTTCTCTCACTCATATAAACAAAGAGGGTTAAAACACGTCCACAATATGAATAAACAAAATGGTTCTGGAAACAACACTACAAATGTATACAAGCTGTAACTTTCCATGGAAAGGTAAGACAATAGTTTAGTTAATCCTCCGTAACATGATATACATAAAACGTTTGCTAGCATTTTGTAAAAATATTAGTTTTTAAAAAATTGCACCTACACCTCGTGAAGTGGGTTTATCAGCAAAAAATGCTTGACTGCTTCTACTGTGAGGCGGATTAAAACGAGGATTAAGAAAAATTATACCGTTAGCGATTGCTTCCAAAGGCGCAGGACCTTCGTAAGGAAATCCCAATCCAATCAATATCTACAATACATTTTAGAAAATATTCCACTAGTTAACATTACAGTGGTTTATGTTATTAAAGAAACTTTCATTAAAATTAAACAATTAAAACTCATCTCTCAACAACTTCAAAGTTACAACTTAACTCAATAGATCTCCATTAATTACAGATATCATACGAAAATCTAATATTACGATATCATAAAAGTATAGTTCGTTCCACATGAAATCAGTCACGTTAAACTGTCAGATAATAATGTTTCACATAATTTTAGTTCACCCTTTATATCCAAAAGATAACTAAACGAAATAAACTAGGAAGAGGCAACTGGGAATATGATATATTATACGTACAAACTATCAAATATGAATGATTAACGTCTTATCGAGGAGTACAATTTGACACAAACATAGCAAAGAATACCATACACTTAGTCGCGTCAATGTCGACCTTTTTCATTCATCACAAATTTTAGGATGTGATAAAGTAGACAACACCTTGATCAAAACTCGATCAAGATTCGACTGTCAAAATTTAGATTAATGACCACAAGAACATGCCGGACGGCACACTCGTAGAATACTTACATACTGATGAATCAGTTATCAAGATAGTTTTTAGAGAAATTTCAGGTTCTATATTATCATTGATCATATAAGTTGCATCCCCAGTTGATTTATAAATGAATATGGTCTGACATTTATGGATAGTTTCACTGTAAGACGACCACAGATTGCAACTGCACTGAGACATAATATATCGTAAGGTTAGATTTGTGAAACCTCTGTCTTCAACTCAAGTAGTTAACATGTATTTCCCGATCGTTCAATTTGAGGGTCGATGATATAGGAACAAAGAACAGAGTAAACTTTACCTAAGTTGGCCGAGAAGAGAGTGTGAGGTCAAAAAATAACGCCTCTGCTTCTCAGTCTCAGTAGTGCATGGGACTGCATGCTTATCGACTAGTTTTCTAGAGCACAGAAAGGGAAGACTAAAGGCAGCAGGTCGAGAGACATCGAAAGAATAGTTGTGGTTTATGAAAATGTATAAAATCTTTGATCCACTAATGAAATTAGATTGTACAGGCTGGCCCTATTTCTAGCCCACCTAGGTTGCTCCAGCTCCTAGATAGGACAAATCAATCGATTCATTCTTCTTAAATCACATTTTGACCCTGTCACATATTCGCTTATCAACCTTGACTGTTTTTATGTAAGCGTACGTGACTTATTTTTGTGTGACTACAACGATCGATTCACGCATCGTTAAATTGTGTTAGCTTATTTGCCATCTCAATTGCGCATCATTTCGTTTTGGTTCGCCTTTCGACCAACGATTGTACGAAATATATGTATTCAAAAACCCATTCTCGTATTTGACTTATTTAATTCCGTTATTCACCAACGCGATTTAAGTCGATGGTTATACACAAGTATTAGAGGCATGTACTTTTCAATAAGAAGCAGCAAACGATCTAATTAGAATCACATCTAGGGCCACTAAAAGATACCACATTAGCTAAAGTTTTTATTTAACATATATACAATGTTCTTTACTGATGTCCTTCATAAACTTGATTGTAAATCAACAGGTTTCGAAATCAAACTGTCTAATCATGCAGTTTCATCCAAATAACCGATTAGTATATCTAACACTGATCTACCGTATGGTGTTGGTTTCTGAGTTTCATCAGCTAAATTATATTGGTTTCTTTCCCCTTTTATTCACAACCTTGTGTTGCATGGGTGAGACTGTTCACTAATTCATTGAATCCATTATCATTATTTTGGTAAAGTTAATAAATAGTATTCACATTCGGAGAAATGATAAGTGACAATGAATAGATAATTGAAAAATTTAGAGAGGACCAGAATCCTGTGAGTATAACTAAGATCAATTGTCGCTTGACTTAGTTTTCCAGTGGCATTGTACTGTCATCAAAATTATCTTCCCTATGAGAAAGGATTTCTATGCGTGAAACACAGTGTTCGCTGCTAATATTTCACTAATCACTTGAGAAACAAACAATGATAGTGACTATTTACGATGAAATGCCAGTTCGTCAGCTTTGTGGTCATTAGCACGTTAAACTCTATCATCATAATTCTGAACAATATTTAATGTTGCACACTTCTGTGAGTCAGATTATCAAATAGTTTTTTAATAAGTCCAGTTATAATACACTGAAATAAACCTAATCCTTTTAACAGGAAAATTCAACATAAATGCAATAATATATATAAACTTACTTGAGATTTCGACATTAACTCTAAATATGGTTGACCATATTGCATTTGATGTATATGCACAAATTTTGGTAAGTTATCAACTTTATCCATCACATTTCCATGTAATTCAAAGTAATCAGATAAAATTCTCAAATAATTTGTTTTATTCTTAAGAGAAAAAATAATTTGATGATATACACAAAGATGAGTAAATTAATAAGAGAAGCAATAAATAATTATTATTGAATATAACAAATGTAGTCGAGTCAAATAAAACACAGTTGAATATTCATATTTTATTTGCAATGAAAAACAATGAACACAGATTTTGGTGGGTTATTTTACTAAACAACACGCAAAATGCAACTGATCTGTTAATAGTACAATACTAATTATGTTGAGTATCTGAGTAGGAATGTTGAACAAGTAATTAAATAAGTAAGATTATTTTGACCAAATGATGATTTAGCAACAGTAGTTACTTCACAACCTAGTGTTAAGGAATTTTATCGAAATGCATAGATATATGCATTTAATTTTAGCCGAGAGTACAGTTTAGGTAATTATGTTATTGAAGTTTTTTTAAAACTTACGCCTAGCTGAAGTCAACTCTTAACATTACTGATTGATAAGTCAGATGTAATACAAAGATATGGAAAAAACAGACAAGAATCATACGGCAAAAATATAAAACGGAGGTGAACAAGGATTGAAAAAGTAAAATGGATCAAGTTGGTCTCGGTAGAAAACACAATGAATATAGAAAAAAATTTATAACATAAGAAATATTTCAATAATGATTAAAAATTACATCCCTAATGGTCGTTAATGATCGACGTAAACCGACCAGTTAGTTCCCAAGCTTACAACGCTCCGTTTTAAATTGTCTTTGAGATAGATGTTCTATTCTGGTGAACTACAAATTGTTTTTTTCTTGTGAGAATCTGATTTAGGGAAATGTTAAGAACAAATTGCCGGGTTGGGCCACCTTGATGTACATTTATCGATTTACTTGATCTTGCGAAGCAGGTTATATTGGCTGCATAAATCGCAAACATAGTAAAGGAATATCAGAGCACAATCCTACATGACTGTATCTAAAAGGGAATGGAAATCAATCAATAACTCAATCCTTGAATGGATAGTCGATTCTGGTCACGTCCCACGAGAATCATCATTCAAGATTATCCACGAAAAGAATTGGCTGGAATAAAGTTTGGATTGGGAATTTATGTACAACTGAAGCTATATTAATTTATTAGTTCAAATCTGATCACTATATACAAAAGAGTCATGTTCAATTTTTTTGGGATACCATCAGGTCCTAAACATTAGGATGAATTAAGTGACATCAGTTGCAGTGAAACTACGAACACAATTATTCTTCAAACGTGTGGATATAGGGAGCCTGACATCAGATGACTGACGTATAATAGACTTATTTAAGTCACAAACATTCAGCTGGTTATTGCTTCTAATGTACCTGTCACCTATAAGTTCTTTAAAGTTTCCACATACTTAGAGAGTTTTTGAGTAAACATAGAGTTTATTAGACGACATAGTGGTAGGACTCTAATTTATGGACCAGCCAATCAGAAGCGTTTGAGGAATTTCAAGGTCACGGCGCTAAGTTCTATGCGAGATGCTCACATTCGATCGTTTTACAGCAGATTTTAGAGAAGAGGTGATTGTTGAGCGACTACAACAGATGGGACTATTAAGAAGTTCCTGTGTCTGTGACTGCGGCAATCAAATGACTGCAGCACGATGTGCAGACTACCGTGATGACATTATATTTCGTTGTACTATATGTTAGAGAAAAAATCTGCTCGAACTGGCACTTTCTTTGCCCGGTCACGGCTCAGGCTAAGACAAATCATGATAATTGTTGCAAATTGGATCATAAAGTTACCAGTAACATTAGCTGCGGCTTTTGCAGATGTTACGGAAACTTACGCCGTTCAGTGGTATGAATATTGCCGTGATATATGTGCAATGAAAGTGACACGAGTACGTGAATCATTTGGAGGAGTTGGAAAGATAGTGGAAATAGATGAGACAGTAGTTAGACAGCGAAAATACAACAAAAGACGTTTTATCAAGAAAGATTGGGTAAATAGCACTTCCGTGAATATACTTGACAAGTACTTAGATTTTACGATCGTTCAACTCAAAAGGGACATTTTCAAAGAGTGAGAAACCGTAAGGTAACGACAATAATACCAATCATCAAGGAGTACGTTCAGCCTGGCACCACGATCTATACCGATGATTGGAAAGCTTATAGATGCCTCTCGAGACTTGGTTTTCTGCATCATGTTGTAGTGCACAAACGTCATTTTGTTGATCCAGCGACGGGGGTTCATACAAACAATATTGAAGGCATGTGGTCTAGGCTGAAGTATTTTTTAAGACCCTACCACGGCTCCAGAGGACGATTATTATGGGGCCATATGGACGAGTTGGAATTATCTTATCCCACCGGCAATTTATTTTCTTAAAGTGTTCCCCACCCCCCTGAAATTTTTTTTCCACCCCCAAATTACAATACTTTTCATCCCCTGTTTCGTCCAATGAAATGAGTAGTTTTAAAACTTCTATGTAATTGGTTAGTTATGTCTGGAAAGTTGTTATAAATTATCAGTACATGCCGACGATGTACATTTTAATTTCAGGGCCATCCACAATTTGATTAATAATCGAAATTAATGTCTAATGGGATTATCGTTTATGTTTTTGTAAACTTATTTCTAACGTTTATTAGATATAAAGGTTAAGAAAAGTTAGACAACATTTTGTCATCTAATGAACACTAATCTAGTAATTTTAGATTTAAAATAATGTGATTACCGTTCATGTATTAGTAACACATTTGTTAACTATTTAATAATAGTACATTTTTAATAGGAATATTTCAATATAGTGAAAATTGTAATTTTTTCATAAGGCTTCGCGCGCGAAGCCAGTAGGTCCTGGGTTCGAATCTCGCAGGGGGCGAGGTCGTGGATGCGCACTGCTGAGGAGTCCCATAATAGGACGAAACGGCCGTCCAGTGCTTCCAGGTTTTCCATGGTGGTCTAGCTTCAACTGACTCATGATCTTAATCAATGTAATGGGTTAACAATGCTGAACGTTTACATATATATATATATATATATATATATATATATATATATATATATATATATATATATATATATATATATATATGCAAATTACTAAGGTCATTATTCAATATAGGTCAGCATGATTTGCAGTTAAGTGTTCAGTCACAATAGGTGTAACAGGATTATGGTAATATTGAAAACGCAACAAATGTTCTGTCAAAAAAGGCACAATTTGCGAATTTCATCGTGTCAATGGACGTAATAATAATAATAATAGTATTAATATTAATAATAATATTCATAGTATCGATAATACTACTACTAATAATAATATTAATAATAACGGCAATACGGACAATACATTATAATAACATTTCACATGTTCATTGATGCAATAGACCTTATTCATATTTATACATTTAATGTCGATAGACATTTGTTCAGTCAGACGACGTAGGCTTGTTTATTTACAGCTTATTAAACTGACATTTCAAATGTTTGTCAAAAATGGTTACATTCATAATGTATAGATATTTAAGCTTTCTTATTACGCTTATTCATAAATGACTGATTAAACACACCAGCTTTTATTACGACCGACAAAACAATAAACCGTTTAAATGGATTTTAAAATTGACCGCATTAATTTCTAACGTTTTCTATTTCTCACTAAGATTGCCCTTTTACAAATTCAACGTTTACTAAATATTAAGTACCTATTTTGGAAACATTCTTACCACTTCTGTAATAATTTGTTCATTACTTGGGTATTCAACATTAGACTACTAACATAATTCATCAATCACTCTTATCAAATATTCAAACCGCTTTTCAGTTCCTCTTTTTCCCTAAACTTTCTGTTAACGTTATACATATCAGTATTAGTGGCAACATAACTAACAACTTCAATTGAAGGTTGACATTAAATCACTTGATCGGATATCAAACATTTATCTCAATACACATTCACTAACACTACGATTTTAGTTGGTGTTTTCTTCTTGAAAAGTCTAAATTGTTTTTAAGATTACCTTTACACAAATAAATTTTTCATTATTATTACATTTAAAATATAAAAATGCAATTTCTGACTTCCAATCAAAGCACTTGATCCTATTTCGATTTCAACTAATCAGATTGCAAAGATCAAGAGTTTACGACCAATTACAAAATTATTAAAGGTGACAAATTTTTGGTTCATTTTCACTTGAGTACACACTTGCAAAACAAGTACACCAATCACAGATACCTAAATTTTCAATTCACACCCTACCTTTTTATAAAGGGGTGCCAGCGATTTATATTTGCCGGGAAATGAATGTCGACCGACGAGTTCCTATACCGCATGCATTATGATTTCAAAACTTCTGAACCTTAATCAAACCTTAACAAGTTCTTAAATCATGTAAAAGAAGAATATCCATTGTAATTCATCAGTTTTTTATAATATATTTCTACTTTATACTAACTCTCTTCTGATTGACTAATGTTCTCAAGGTCACTTAAACATACGTTCGAAGGTCGTCCATAAAATACAGTTTTACCGACTTAGTTTACGAACTTCGATCGAGTGTGTTAGATAATTTAACAGTAAAGCCTTCCTTATTTCTGTAGATAACACATCATTAGCAAAATATCCCAAAAGAAGTGGGCTTTTCGCATTTAACCGCATATAATCAACAGCTTGTTTCGCCAACATTCAGTTTGATCGGTTGTTGTCATCAATTGTCCTATAGTTGTCTGTATATGATGACCTAGTTTTTGGCCTGATATGACGGGAAGAAAAGTCAAAATTAGATTGATTTACTCATTGATTTTTATTTAACATTAACTCCGTTTTAATTCCATGTGATGATTACTCAGTATAGCATTTATTTTGTTTTCCCGTTTGACATTTTATTCTGTATAACATACAATATTCTTGTATTAAGTTAACATGAACTATACTCAGCATATGATTTGTTATAACTACGTATTTTTCATATATGTGATTTGATTCTAATTATTAATCAAAAGTGGATGTATGAATCAATATATAAATAAGTGTGATTCCGATTAGACTCGTCGTGGTTGTTCGTGCTTCTGGCTGCTTGTGGAATATATTTCCCTCTTCCGAACTTGGACTTTCTCTCTAGTTAGCTGGGTTGGGACTCGTGGGAATAGTTAGCATATCCGTCATTGTCACAGAGTCTTCCGTTCTCAAATTAGGTGAACTCGTAATCGCTTCAAACGTAGCAAATTTGGCGACGGGGGTGGGATATTTTGGCATAAGTTGACCTAGTTTTTGGTCTTATAATGATTCATGATTTTTTAAATTGGTTGATAAACGAGGTCGATTTCGTTATGTTTTATTCGATGCTGACTGGTCTCAAAACGAAACTTATAAAAACTATCTGGTCTTTTTATTCCGTTCATCAAAGATCGACTTCTTACAAATGTTATTTCAAGAAAACTAAAACACTACAACATCCATCTACCACATGGAGAACTGAAGAAGAATACCTAGTGATGGTTTTTCTGAAGAACGACTATCCATATTTCAAACATTAAAAAGCACGGAATAAAATATGGAAACCAACAAACGAATAATTCATATACGAAGGACATGTTGAATTTGCAATCAGTTGAGACTGTTTGAGACAGGCTAAACATACAAGCCACCAAAATTAATTCAATCAACCAACCATAAGGTCGATAACTAGGTCGAAATGTAGGACAATCGACATATATATACACATGCAGACAATTACAGGACAAATGATGACAACAACCGATCAAACTGAATGTTGGCGAAACAAGCTGTTGATTATGTGTGAGTAAATTCGAACAGCTCATTTCAATCGGAATATTTTGTTAATGATGTATAGTCAAGGTAGATAATGAATTATTTATGATAAAACTTCCCAGTTCAAAAAACACATTTTCACCAAAGTCACCCTGCTTTAGCTTGACTATTTCATATATCCGGCTAAATCCCTAAAACAATTAAATTACAGGTAATTTGATCATGGGTGTCTTTGAAGCATTGTTCATGTATAATGGATGATTTTAATTTAATTATAAGTACAATAGAAGAAATTCACATCTAAAAACTCCACAACATGATTACTCCACACATAGTTTATTGGTTATTATTAGTACGTAAGGAAACTTACAGTCCACATATAAGACTCTTTTCCATAAACAAGAGCAACGGGTTTAGATGATGATCGATGAGATAATTTATATTTGAGTGGGAGTATTTCAGCAACAAAACCCAGGAATGTATTATCCGGTGAATGAGCTAGAAGTATCAAAACAAGGGAAAATAACAACTACAAAAATGTACAAACCAAAGTGAATTAAATGAATTTCAAAAAAAGTAATAACAATCAATCATTGTTGAGAATGTGTAGGCTACAATAACATGTTATAGCAGGAATATGTAGTGAATGAAATTCAGCTTTAATTAAGACAAAATTATAATGAAAGAATCGAAGGAAAACTAATGAATATGGTCACAATTAAGAGTACTGTTCAAATTGATTAGTATATTGTGAAGGGACTTCAAAATTTTCAGTTCTCCAAACGCATTATTTTGATTTTATCTAACCCATCTTTGTTGTCTGAATGTCTTTGGTCGTGACCATACCATCCAGCTCAAAGAACAAAACTTCACTAAAATGTGAAACAATGGATAACTTACGGAAAAATGTATAGAATTGCTGCAAATTTAAATGTAATCCACTCCAAGGTTCTTTTCTATGATTATAAACAGCTTCTGTTCCAAATGTATCCAATATACGGAATTTACATAATGGAGTGCTTAATTTGGAGAAAACACGATACAAAATGAATTTATATTAATTATTTATTGTACATAAAAGTTTGATAAACCCCATAGGGTCAGTGGTTTTATAAACTGTGGAATAACAAGCAAACTGACAGTTGAAAATGGCTTTTATTTTCAATTTACATTCACCAGAGAATCATTAAACGATTACTCTGTCCTTCAGTGGTCGTTCTATAATGTGAAATGTATTACTAGTTATTACCGAAAAATCCGTAGATAAGGCCACTCGAAATGCAAAAACGTCACCAGTGCAGGAGAACCTTGTATTCTGATCACTAAGGTACCGAAAATATAGACAACATGAAATAGTTTTAATAACAAATAAGACTCATTCAATCAGGGTTGGTTAAAGTAATCAATTAGTTTAAACGATCATGTACATTTCATGTCATAACAAAAGCGAAAATAGATTTAAATATACTCACATACAAACATACCTAAATTATTTCTTGAAATGCACTCTTAACTACTACTTAAAACAACAATAAGTGAACCATAGAGGAAAGAGAAGAAGACAATGACAAAAATCGATTAGATTACAAAAATGAATAAAATTTAATAATTATATATGCCAATAATCATCAAACAATAAATTGGTCATAGGCGGTACAACATTTCCACACAAACGTATACACAAAGCTACGTGGATCTCACCGGACCACACCACAGAGAACCAGATAGATCACATTTGCATCAATAAAAAGTTCCGAAGGACAATGGAAGATGTGAAAAGCAGGAGAGGAGCGGACATAGCTTCAGATCATCACCTGGTTGTGGCCAAACTGAAACTGAAGCTAAAGAAGAACTGGACAACTGGACAAACAGCACCACAAAGGTTCAATACAGCCTTCCTTCGAGATACTGACAAACTCAATGAATTCAAGGTAGCTCTCAACAACAGGTTCCAAGCCTTACAGGACCTACTGAAGGAAGAAGAAACTACTATGGAGGATAGCTGGAAAGGTATCAAAGAAACATTAACTTCAACGTGTCAAGAGGTTCTGGGCCCCAAGAAGCATCATCACAAGGAATGGATCTCTACAGAAACACTGGACAGGATCAAAGAAAGAAAGAACAAGAAGACAGCAATTAACAACAGTCGAACAAGAGCAGAGAAAGTCCAAGCACAAGCAGAGTACATAGAAGCAAACAAGAAAGTGAAGAAGAGCATTAGAGCTGATAAGCAAAAATACGTGGAAGAACTAGCAACGACGGCGGAAAAAGCTGCAAGAGAAGGAAATATGAGACAGCTTTACGATACGACGAAGAAGCTAGCAGGGAAATACAGTAAACCAGAGAGACCAGTCAAAGACAAAGAAGGAAGACCAATCACTGAGATTCAACAACAGCGGAACAGATGGGCAGAGTACTTCGAGGAACGCCTGAACAGGCCGGCTCCAATGAATCCACCGGACATCGAAGCAGCACACACAGATCTTCCTATAAATGTCAATCCACCAACGACAGAAGAAATCAGAATGGCCATCAGACAAATCAAGAGCGGGAAAGCAGCAGGACCTGACAATATACCAGCTGAAGCGTTGAAGTCAGACATCGAAGTAACTACAAGCATGCTTCATCTTCTATTCGAGAAGATTTGGGAGGAGGAACAAGTGCCGATGGATTGGAAAGAAGGACACCTCATCAAGATTCCAAAGAAAGGAGATCTGAGCAAGTGTGAAAACTACAGAGGCATTACACTACTGTCAATACCGGGTAAAGTCTTCAACAGAGTGTTACTGAACAGGATGAAAGACGCAGTAGACGCTCAACTTCGAGATCAACAAGCTGGATTCCGTAAGGACCGGTCGTGCACAGACCAGATTGCGACACTACGGATCATCGTCGAACAATCAATTGAGTGGAACTCGTCACTCTACATCAACTTCATTGATTATGAGAAGGCATTTGACAGTGTAGATAGGAGGACGTTATGGAAACTTCTTCGACACTACGGAGTTCCTGAGAAGATTGTCAACATTATCCGGAACTCATACGATGGACTACAGTGCAAAGTAGTGCATGCAGGACATCTGACTGACGCATTCCAAGTAAGGACCGGAGTAAGACAAGGCTGTCTACTCTCTCCCTTCCTGTTTCTTCTGGTGGTCGACTGGATTATGAAGACCTCGACATCTGAGGGAAACTACGGCATACGATGGACAGCTCAGAACCAATTAGACGACTTGGACTTCGCAGATGACCTAGCCCTCCTATCACATACACACGAACAAATGCAGATAAAGACAGCCAGCATAGAAGCAGTCTCTGCATCAGTAGGCCTCAACATACACAAAGGGAAAACCAAGATCCTCAAACACAACACGGAGAACAGCAATCCAATCACTCTTGATGGCGAAACTCTGGAAGACGTGGAATCCTTCACATACCTGGGAAGCATCATCGATGAACATGGAGGATCAGATGCAGACGTAAAGTTAAGGATTGGCAAAGCAAGAGCCTCATTCCTACAGTCGAAGAACATATGGAACTCAAAACTACTTTCAACCAATATCAAAGTCAGAATCTTCAATACGAACGTCAATGCAGTTCTACTGTACGGAGCTGAAACTTGGAGAACTACAACAACCACCATCAAGAAGGTACAGGTATTTATTAATAGCTGTCTACGCATGATACTCAACATCCATTGGCCGGATACCATCAGCAACAGCCTTTTGTGGGAGAGAACCAACCAGCTTCCAGCGGAAGAAGAAATTAAGAAAAGACGATGGAAATGGATAGGACATACATTGAGGAAATCATCAAACTGCATTACGGGGCAAGCGCTAACTTGGAATCCTGAAGGGAAGAGGAAAAGAGGAAGGCCAAAGAACACATTACGTCGGGAAATAGGAGCGGATATGAAAGGGATGAATAAGAACTGGAAAGAGCTTGAAAGGATTGCCCAGGACAGGGTTGGATGGAGAAAGCTGGTGAGCGGCCTATGCTTCTCCACGAGGAGTAACAGGCGTAAGTAAGTAAGTAAGTAATAATCATCAAACATGTGAAACATCTGGAGCCCGAAAATACACTCTTATATCATGTTTGTTTAGAATCCTCTTGATTTCTTCCGATTTTACATTACACAGATAAGGAGGACCAACAGGTTGAATTGAATAGAGTTTCGTCTACACTTAGGGATAACAACTACCCCAAAGAGTTTTTAAAGAAAATTATTAGAAATGAAATAAAAATTAAACTAGAATGTAAATCGAAAGATTGGAAGTTCACCGTAGTCATCCCATAGCATAGTGAAACATCGGATGAAATCAAGAGGATTCCAAACAAGCATGATATAAGGATTTATTTTCGGGCTTGTCTATAAGACCAACTGTTACGATTGTAATGCAGCTTATGTGGGAGAAACTTCCAGACTATTGAATGTAAGGTTGAGAGGAAACAAAGTGTTTGAAAAATGTTCCCAAATCCTCGATTGACCTAGAGAAACTTGAGAATAAGTCTGAGATAGCGTTACATGCGTTGGAAACAGCACATAAGATTAATTTTGAAGGGACCAAAATACTTCAGAAAGGTTTGAATACTCATAAAAAAAGATTGACAGCAGATGCGCTGTATATATGGGCGAACAAGAACAGCCTAAACCGAAAGGATGGTATCAAACTAGCAACTACTTGGCAAATATTTTTCAACAAAAATTGGACCCATTCTTTATTCAACCTGTTTATTTCAAATGCATAGTTATATTGACGGGAATTAATGTGAGTTATTTTCGGCAATACAATTATGTGTTTGATGATTCGCATTTCACATGCACATCAATGATTCAGAAACAATTTTTCAACCTACAAATTACACTTTTATTTTTTCTCTATATAAAAACATATTAACACCGAATACAATTCAATAATAACTCAATCTTACACATACAATTCGTTCATTAATTTTCACATCGTGAACTTTTTACACGATTCGCATTAAACCGACTCATATTATTCTATTTACTAAAGTCAACATCCAAATATGATTGGATTCGCACAGTATAGATTTGATCTGATTGATTGTTAAACGCTAAATATTTCTTTGATGATTTTAATTATTACCCTGAAGAAGTCCAGACAAGTTCGTTGGACGAAACCTACTTACGCCTGTTACTCCTCGTGGAGAAGCATAGGCCGCTCACCAGCTTTCTCCATCCAACCCTGTCCTGGGCAATCCTTTCAAGCTCTTTCCAGTTCTTATTCATCCCTTTCATATCCGCTCCTATTTCCCGACGTAATGTGTTCTTTGGCCTTCCTCTTTTCCTTTTCCCTTCAGGATTCCAAGTTAGCGCTTGCCCCATAATGCAGTTTGATGATTTCCTCAATGTATGTCCTATCCATTTCCATCGTCTTTTCTTAATTTCTTCTTCCGCTGGAAGCTGGTTTGTTCTTTGCCACAGAAGACTGTTAGTGATGGTATAGGGCCAATGGATGCTGAGTATCTTGCGTAGACAATTATTTATAAATACTTGTACCTTCTTGATGGTGGTTGTTGTAGTTCTCCAAGTTTCAGCTCCGTACAGTAGAACTGCCTTGACGTTCGTATTGAAGATTCTGACTTTGATATTGGTTGAAAGTAGTTTTGAGTTCCATATGTTCTTCGACTGTAGGAATGAGGCTCTTGCTTTGCCAATCCTTAACTTTACGTCTGCATCTGATCCTCCATGTTCATCGATGATGCTTCCCAGGTATGTGAAGGATTCTACATCTTCCAGAGTTTCGCCATCAAGAGTGATTGGATTGGTGTTCTCCATGTTGTATCGTTGGACAAAACGTTGGAATTATTTTAAATTTCAATCGTCGAGATTATTTTCAATATAATTTTCACATATAATGACTTCTCTGTACTCGGCGCCCAATTTTTGTCAAGCTGCCCCCAAATGCCCTGGTACGGCCGAGAGTGGGGGGAGTCCGCTCCCCCTCACGAAATGCTCTCATATGGCCACGCGTATACAGCCCCTGCCAGGGAAGTCCTACTCACTGCCTTCTCGCACCACGGGTGTTGTTTACGAAAATGAGATGACGAAAAGCGAATGTCCGGCGCTATAACCGGATCCCAAACCAATGGTGCACATGGGCTCCAGTATCCTGCGGGAACAAATGGCGTATGAACTAATCGTTGGTCACCGGCTACCATGGGACTACATCTCCTCACGATGCTCCACTGCCTTGTGGATCAGACGTTCAGGTCGAAGGCTCGGGGTGTGGCCCCCAAAGAAAACCACCTTCTTCGGTTTGGGCAACCGGGCAGTATCACAGCCCTCACACAAATCAAATGAGATTTGTGTGGCGCATATGTATTTGATGCCTCCCTGTACCAATATCTTTGTGTTAAAATAAATAATAAAATAAATTTTGTCAAACTATTCATTCTAATATTGATGAATATTCGTATGAACTTTACGTATTTTATTCCTATTAGCGTTTACTCATTATGTAATCACTTGTTTCCTGCCAATTGAACTGTTGTTACAATAAATGTTGTAAACCATTCTTTTACATAAGGTATATATCTGCAATATTCAATCTATTAAATTTATTTACACCCTCCTTATACTATACTGATGTGTCTTTAAAATAACTTTCAACTAAAATCTCTCACATAAGTACTTTAAACCCATTTTGTAATTATGTTTTTAAATATCACAAGTTGTAAACAGATGCCAAGTAACCAAACGAAATAAAATGAATTCATGCTATTCTGCCAGAATCTTTGTTCATGCATAGTAAAAATACTTCATTTTCAGTAATGAAAGTTTGTTAATAATTTTTCTTCTTCAAACTTAAGATGAATACCGACTATTAATTAGACTATTTCTTGTTCTCAATGACTATTGATATTATTATTATTCCGTGCATTTTAATACAAGAAGTACACAGAAATAATACAAGGTAGAAATTGGTTAGATGTCTCACAAGCAGAGCAAAAAAGATCTGTACGTGTGATACTTTAAGTCAGGAGCTTGGATTTATTAACAACTCACTGACGGAGATCGGCTACCCCAGTGCTTTCATTAAGAAGTACATGTATGATATAATAAAGAAGTCGGAGATTTCGACTGTTCGTAAGAAACCTTTATACATGAAACTACATTTCAACGGGGATGTGGCTAGTGATACTCTGAAATATAGGTTAACAAAAGTAATGAACAGAACATTCTACGCAGCCAATCTTGCGTTGACTTTCTCTTATCGACCAGCGATGTCTACTCAAACGAAGGATAAGTTACCTGAGTTGGCCTCCTCAATGTGCATCTACATATTCAGCTGCTCCTGTGGAGATAGCTATATCGGGCGTACAACCAGGCAACTTAACCAACGAATGAGTGAACATCTACCAACTTGGTTTATAAAGGGCCAGATAAAAACAATACACAATTCTATCCTCACACACCTTATTGATAGCGGTCATGCTGTAGATAAATCGAAGTCATTTCGAGTGATCTATTGTATACCTCCATCATTTCCCAACGGAGTTCATTCCCGCCTCCTACATATAGCTGAGGCCATAGGAATTCGTAGATATAGCCCAATTTATGTATACAGAAGAAATTTGTAACCCCCCTATCCTTTTCATGGCCAGTTATAACTTAACTAACGATTAATTTTTATTTTATTTTTTCTTTATTATTATTATTATTATTATTATTATTATTATTATTATTATTATTATTATTATTATTATTATTATACTATCATTAACCTTATTTACACATCCATTAATTGTTTGTAATTATCCTCCTCTTTCCGTTTGTATTCTTCACTATCTAACTATTTACACACTTCTTATTACGTAATGATTTTAATGTTTTGTGATGACTATCCCATTTACCTATGTTTGACCTACTGTTTCCAATGTTTAACTATTGATAAGACTTTTGTTATCGTATTTGATTATTCTTACTACTATCAGTACACCTGTCTTCCTACTATCAACTTGTACTTTTATCTATTATGTGTGGCGACCTATTCTATTTCATTGTGATTATTGACCAAAATTGCCTTGATTGGTTTAACATTTTCGTATAAATATCACTGTATATTAGAGTAAAGCCCGATGACAATTTAATTGAAAACAATTGTTCGCTTATGCGTTGTTCTAATTTTCACAATGGGAATCTATAATATTATAAGCTAGAAATTGTATGAAATAAATTACAAGCAAAGGTGGATAGTGGCTAGCAGTGGAATCCAGGACGCGCGTTTCGTCCTATTTGGGACTCGTCAGCTGGATGTACCTGCATCTCAGAGTTGATGTTCACTCCGGGACTCGAACCCAGTACCGTCCGCTTCAAACGCCATCGCGTTATCCACTTAGCTACTGAGTCCTGATAGCCACAATATCAAGTGAATTGTATGAAATAAAGTTTATTAAGAGGTTTTATTGATTTAATTAGAAATTAACATTTTCACATGACAAATATAAGATAGCATCAATGTTATTGAAATGAAGTGCTGATTATCAATAGAATAGTTTACCTATAGTACACAGTATAATAAACCGTAACACAGAAATTATGCATAAAACTTCATCTAGGACATCGAAACAATTCCATTTATTTAACCAGATAGAAAATAAGTGGAGCATACTTCAATTTATTGAATAAAATATGTAAAAATAGTGAAATTTAATTTAAGTTATGCAATATTTTTCATTAAATGTAAATCTATAAACTAACCGGATGTTCATTCTTTTCAAATTTTTAAATCCTGTAATATCTGTGTATATCAAATCGTATTTATTATTCTCTACCTGACAAGGTACGTGATCTGAGTAGGGATGTAACAATTTTCTATTGGTTTTAATTGGGAAAATAAACAAAAACAAGTAGAAAGAAATTAATTAATATGAGTTCCAAACGAACATTATTTATTTATTTACTTATTTGAACACATAAATATTGGTACAGGGGGGCACCAAATATATATGCGCCACACAAAACAATGAGAATTTAAAGAGAAGGGAAAAAAAGGTAAGGAACGTAGGGAATTATAAAAAAAAGAACAATAATGGGGGAAACGAAAAGGTACAATCAGAAGAATTCTTTCAGTTAAGAAAGAAGCAACCACTTTTTACGAAGTAAGTAAAACAAGGTTACAGTAGGATCGCCACTGGCTTCTATTCTGAGCTATATCTGATAACATCTCTAGCCACTGTGTTATACCATCTCTCGGACCCCAGCCAGGGAGTCGTGAAGGACCAACACAAGCCAGCTCTTTGCAGCTTTCTTTCATACCACGACACCATGTCATATACTGACCACCTCTCCGCTTTTTCCAACCAGTCCCAGAGTCAGCAAATAGTGCACGACGAGGAATTCTCTGGGACGACATGCGTAAAACATGTCCAAGCCACCGAAGTCGGTGTTTCAAGATGGTGACACCAATGGAATTATCGTCCCTATGCCCGAACATACGATGCCGAACTTCTGCATTACTAACATGGTGTTGCCACTGGATGTCAGCAATCCTTCGGAGACAACGATTATCGAACACACAGAGTCGTATAACATCCCCAGCTCGGAGAGGCCAGGTTTCACAAGCATAGAACAGAACTGCTCTCACCGACACGTTGTAGATCCGACCTTTTACCGACAGACTAACATCACGAAGGTTCCAAAGATGGCCCAGATTGGCATAAGCCGCTCTGGCTTTCACTATACGTGCATTGATTTCATCACTCACGCCACCACCAGCACTTATGCAGCTACCCAGGTACACGAACTTCTAGACTACTTCTATCTGCTCACCATCCAGGGTGAGTACAGGATTAGAATCCTGCCAGTCTTGTAGAAGAACTTTGCACTTCGAAGGTGCAAAGCATATACCATACCTACGGACACTGATTGCCAACTGATTAAGTGCGGATTGCATGACTTGGGCATTATCGCACAGTAGGACAATATCATCCGCATACTCAGGGTAGAGAAGTTTTCTCCATGCAACAGATCTACACCACCATTACTTACATCCATCAGAGCTGTTTCCAGAATGACATCGATGGCAAAGTTGAAGAGGAATGGTGAGATTGGGCAACCCTGCCAAACCCCACTGCTTGAATGGAATAGTGGAGAAAGGTGGTTGTATGCTCTCACTCTGCCTGAGGTGTTTAAATATAGGGCTTTTAGGATTTTAATGAACTTCTCAGGCACACCCTTCTTCAATAGACAATCCCAGAGAACAGACCTATCCAACGAATCGAAGGCATCCCTGATGTCAAGGAACACTACGATTGTTGGCCTTTGATAAGTATGACGGTGTTCTAACATTTGGCGGAGGGTGAAGATATGATCAATACATCCTCGACCAGAACGAAACCCAGCCTGCTCCTCGCGAATTATAACGGAAGCCAATAGCTTGGACGCAATCGGAAGTAGACTTATCCCCCGATAGTTGTTACAGGAACGACGTGAACCCTTTTTAAAGATAGGGACAACTATCGACTCATTCCATGACGTTGGTACACTCTCTAGTTCCCAGATCTTTGTAAACAACGTCGTCAGTCCCTCAGTCAGAAAGTCACCACCATCTTTAAAACGAGCCGGAGGTAAGTCGTCTGGGCCCGGTGATTTGTAACGTTTCAAGAGTTGGAGTTCCTTGCGGACTCCCGCCTCATTTGGTGGATCAGTCGTCACCGGCCATGGAGGGCAGGACAGTCTGATCGATGTTGCCGGAGCAGCAGGCCAGTTGAACTGCCCTTCAAAAAATTCTGCCCATCGTCCAAGACGTCTTTGGATGTTCATGATTGGCATCCCGTCATCCTCACAGATTGTTTCGCTCACACCAGACTTCTTGCTGCCAGTGGCTCGGATGAGTTGGAAGAGCTTCCGGTAATTACCAGATGCAGCTGCTGCTTCCAACTCACTGGCACGCTCCGACCACCAGGCTTCACGGTCCTTACGCAAGCTTTGCCCGATTTCATTACGTAACACCCTTCGTCTGTGGTCAAACTCACGGTCACCCGGAGTAGACCGACGGGCTTCAATCAGTTGTAAGGAACCAGAAGAAACCCAGTGCTTATAAGCGGGACGTTTCGTGAACACACAATAGACTCTACACGCCATTTTCATGGCGTCATGCAATTGCAACCAATGCTCATCTATACTTTTCGGTGGGATGGTAATTAGCCTAGCTCGGTTCGGTACTTAATAGCAACAGAAGTTGCAACCAGCTCGCTAACATCAATGCTTTGGTGGCGGTCACTTCGTTGTCCACTGAAAAGTAAGGTAAGATTGACGCAGACCAGAGCATGATCAGATTCCAGATAGGTACTCCAAAAGGAGCGGCAGTCTTGTACACAACCACGGCAGTGGTAGCTGATTGCGATGTGATCAATCTGAGTCCAGGCTTGAGATGCAGAAGGGGGACGTCAGGTGGCACATCGGCGATGACTGTGCCGAAAGTTAGTGCTAGCCAGAAACAGGTTGTGGTCTGTGCATAGTTGCAGCAGACGTTCCCCGTTATCTGTCCTGCGACCAACAAGTCCCCATCGGCCACCTAAACGACTCTCTTCTGTGCCTAGACGCCCGACCTGAGCATTCAAGTCTCCGGCTAGTACTACAATATCTGTCGAACGCACTTTCTGGAGAAGAACAGTTAGCTAATGGTAGAACTCGTCCTTGATTGCATCCGGGCTGCAATCTGTCGGGGCATAGGCGAGATGGCGAAAAGACATAGTTTCTCACGCCGATTTCTTCTCACTGTGATGCAACTTTCTAATATAACAGCACATAACCGACTGTTAACGGGGATCCGATCGATTAGTGCTGCCTCAGCTCTAGCGCTTAGTGCGACATCAACGCCAGACGAAGATGCCACAGGGTCCTCGGATAAACACACGTAAAACAAGCCTTTTAAAGCGACAGATGGAGAGCGCATTTGTAGTACTTCACCAAAGTCTTGAATACGGGTCTCGGATAGACAACACACGTCAATATTAAGACTCTCCAAAGACATAGCCAGCCCTATCTGTTGTCCGACCTGCATAAGTGTGCGGACGATAAGGGCAGCCAGTTTGAATGGAGCACGTGGTTTCAGAAAAACTGCTTCAGTACTCGTATTCGATGGTAACATACAATTTTGAACCAGGCTGTGACACGAGAACGTTTAGATGGAGCCGAATTTCCACCATAGGCGAGCTGTTGTATAAGTCGGAAAATAAGGATAGACAGAGTGGAAATAAAAGAGAGTGAATAAATGACGTGGTAAATAATAATAATAATGTGAATTGCTTGACAGTAAATCGCAGCGAGAATAGAGTTTTCAGTGAATATCATCATTTTCATTATCATTATATTTGTGTGTAGGCTGAGATACTGCCCTGTTGCCCAGACCGAAGCAGATGATTTTCTTAGGGGGCCACACACCGAGCCTTCGACCTGAACGTCTGATCCACAAGGCAGTGGAGCATCGTGAGGAGATGCAGTCCCATGGTAGCCGGTGACCAACGATTGGTTCATACGCCATTTGTTCCTTCAGGATACTGGATCCCATGTGCACCATTGATTTGGGATCCGGTTAAAGCGCCGGACATTCGCTTTTCGTCCACTCATTTTCGTAAACAACACCCGTGGTGCGAGAAGGCAATGAGTAGGACTTCCCTGGTAGAGGCTATATACGCGTGGCCATGTGAGAGTATTTCGAGAGGGAGAGCGGACTCTCCCCACTCTCGGCCATACCAGGGCATTTAGGGGCAAAGTGTGGCAACTATTTGTTGCAATGTGGAGGTGCCGGGCATAAATCAACATAAATCAATGTGGATAGAAAATTCACTGAATGGCGGAGGAAACTAATAGGCATTTTTAAGATTTCAGTCAGATTACGATGTAGCGTATTTGTCTGAATGTCTCTTCCTCTTAGTGCGAAATATCGCTTTAGGTTTGTTATAAGAAGCGAAGTAACTGAACGAGTCGACCACTTCTTTTTTTAGGGAGTCACGTCACCTCGAGTGAGTTGATTTCTGACGAAAGCTCGGTTGGTATTTGGCGACTTATGTTTCTCGTGACATAAGCGGGATGTTCATCTGTTAACTGAACTGCTAGTGTACAGGCCAGTGATCGACTAATACTGAATGGGTGTAAAACATCATCCATGAAATAGAAGACACCTATAGGTTGCAGGCTTTTGATAGCAAGCGTCTTCAAAGCATTGGCGACGCACTGTAGGAAAACGGAGCCAGAAATATAGAGTTTAGATGTATGTACCAAGTAGAGATAGTAAATCGGTTTGTAAGGTAATGGATCGTAATCAACGGAGATGGCTGGTACATATTTTGTGTATCCTGAACCACCTCCTACTTAGAAAAACAATGCCAGCTAGTGAAGTACTACGTTGGAAGAAACCTAAATGCAGCCAAACCAAGACGGGGAATCAATCCACGAAGTCACTAAATGTTTAACTGAGTCATTATGGTAGATACAGACTACCTGTTAAGAGTCTGTGAGTTAACCATGATCAGTGGTTGGAGACGTTGGGTATCTTGGCTCAGAGTTAGTTAAGATGATGCAGACGCATTCACCTTTTATTTTTACCCAGATTTTAAGTTCCAGAATTCTTTCATCGATACCTTTTGGTTGTCTTTTTGAACCATGTTCTGAATATCTAGTTCTTTTAATTGCCATTGTCACTTCATTATTTCGACTTATCTACGAATTATGTTGTTAATTTCATCTCATCACGTTAATCTGGTATGACAACTAATAGTAATGCACAATTAAGTCAGGCTATATACTGATTATGACTAATTGATAACATTTGCATGCCTAATGCATTCGTTAATCAATTACACAGATTTTGAAAAATAAAAGCTGATTATTCAATATATCAGTTAACGCAGAATTTTCATAACTTTCAATGTAGGTAATAGTTTAACTCATGAAATGTATATGGCCCGGAAGCAATGAGGTTCACCATGTCGTATCATAAAATTAAAAGGAAATGATCTTAAGCATAATTTTACCGTAATGTTATACCAACTAGTAAGCAGCTATATCGTCAAAAATGATAGATGCCAATTTTCCAAGTTAAAACTTCAGCAATATATCAGTTACAGATTACTGATATATATATGAAACAAAAAATGAAGTAAACTATGACGATTGGTGTTAAATTTATAACGATCTCCGACTGCTAAACGACATTGTAACATGATTCATAGACATTAAAATGCTTAGGAGTCAATTCGGCATATATATTATTTATTGATGGAGTTTTGTTCTCTGAGCTGGATGGTTTGATCGTGGAGCTTTCATCGTTCTTCTGAACGATGATGTCGTTCAGAAGAACGATGAAAGCTCCACGATCAAACCATCCAGCTCAGAGAACAAAACTCCATCAAAATCACCCACCTGAGCTACAAATCTTCTCCACCATCTCAAAAATATTATTTATGTATATCAAGTTCAACAGTATTCCACACTAAAAAATAATCTGAAAAGTGTTAATAGTAATGAAATGTACTGTTTATAAATGATAACTTGCATTACCTACCAAACACAGTATTATAAAATGTATAAAGAGATTTTAGTTCATTGTGTTGATCAAGTTGAAGGTAAACTATTAAATAATGATGAACTGCTTAAACACCATGACTATAAATTTGTCAACTATGGATATATCACACTAATTATCTGTTTAATAATTATGTCAATTGACTTATTGTGTGTGTTAAATGCAAATATACATGTGTCTTCTTTATAATGCTTATGGCTTTATACGAAGCTTAATTACTTCATAATTACAAGTGGAATAACAACAGTGACTAATGTATCCTCCTTTACGTATATCCTTCAGAGAGATAATATTCGAAATAGTTGGGTTAGTTATACGATGAAAAAGGTATGTCAAAGGAGTAAAACTATTGAAAAATTTTAGTAGATAAGGATTAATAGAAGCTAACTATTGATGACAAAAAAAACAACATTTTAATAACTTTTCTGAATATTACCAAGTTTTATGTAAAAAAAGGAGGGAAAACTATTTTTGAATAAGCTTCATTATAACTAAACAAATGGTGTTAAAATAAGCTAATATTGTTATTAACAACACGACTATATGTTACATAACAAATTCGAAAATGTATAAGATAAATCTGAGAGTACTGTGAAAATGTGCGTGTACAGAAACATTCACTGTAAAAAAAAATAACTTCACTTTCAGACAACATAATCTTACGATTTTGCTTCAGCAGCTTCAAAAGTAATTGTTATGTTGTGTCCAAGAATATAGAGAGCACCTATGAGATCAGTCCATTGAACAAGTTCACCAAGGGGACCACCTGGAATTGTATTAAAATGGATAAGGAAATGTGACTAAATTTTGCTCTTTTAGTAAGTGTATAGATTGAATTTAAATGATATACATATAAAAATGTAATCATTTATGATCGTTATTATTTTTGAAAATATATAGAAATACAAAATCTCTTGGTTGATATTACAAATGGGATGGATTTAACCTACAAATAAACTATTATCATGAGTAACTAATAGATATGAAATTAACATTGAAAAAATCTTGATGATTATCCCTAACCGGTGGTGAATCAATGGAGTCGGTTTTATTAATTACCGAAAGATTTGAAAAATTTTTTTTCTTGAAATCATAAATGAGTTGTTCACCATCCACGTCATTAATGAGATGTGTGAATTAGCTTCGGTAAGTGGATGTTAAGATAGGTAGAAATCATGTACGAAATACAATAACTGAATAACAAATTAACTGATCACATCTTCATTGATATCAAAATTACAAATAATTTTTTTTCTAAAGAATAATAACAAATATAAATGGTTACCTTTAGAAATATATGATTCGAAAGAATTCTTATGAAAACCATTCGATAAAAATCCCATATGAAGTAGAATCTAATTAAAATAAACGCAAGTGATATCAAATGAATCGAAAGATAAATATATAATAATTATAGGTAAGATTTGTTCATTTATTCATGTATATTTGAAAATAAATATAACACAAAACATAGATAATCACGCGTAACATGAGCTAAATAAACACAGAGAAAGTCGTTCGGGTCACCTATGGGGACTTGTTGGTCTCAGGCCAGATAACGGTGACCGCCTACTGAAACTGTGCGCAGACTACAACGTGTTTCTGTCTAGTACTAGCTAACGGCACAGCCATTGCCGACGTGCAACCTGGAGTCCTCCTTCTGCATCTCAAGCCTATATTCAGATTGATCACATCACAATCAGCTACCGCTGGCGTGGTTGTGTACAAGACTGCCGCTCCATTTGAAGTACCTATCTGGACTCTGATCATGCCCTTGTTTGCGCTAATCTTACCTTACTTTTTCGTGGCCAACAAATTCATTGTCGCAAACAGATCGATGTTAGTAAATTGGTTGCAGCTCCTGTTGCAACTAAATATCGAGCCGAGCTAGGTTCAACGTTAGCTACCAACCAACCGAAAAGTCTAGATCAGCATTGATTGCAGTTGCATTATGCCAGGAAAATGGTGAGTGAAGTTGCTTGTGATTACGAGAAACGTCCCACTGATAAGCATCGGGTCTCTTCAGGCTTTTAACAACTCACTGAAGCCTGTCAGTCTACTCCGGGTGACCGTGATTTTGACCACAAACAACGACTGTTGCGCAATGAAACTGATCAAAGCTTGCGTACGGACCGATAAGACTGGTTGTCGGAGCGTGAAAGCAGCAGCTGAACCTGGTAACTGCCAGAAGCTCTTTCAACTTATCCGAGCCACTGGCAGTAAGAGGTCTGGTATGAGCGAAATGATCTGTGAAAATGACGGGATGCCAATCACTAAAATCTATCACCGTCGTGAACGATGGGCATAGTTTTTCGAAGAGTAGTTCAATAGGTCTGCTGCTCTGGCGACATCAGTCGAACTGTACCATCCTCCATGGCCTGTGACGACTAATCCACCTAACGAGGAGAACGTCCACGAGGAGCTCCGACTTTTGAAGTGCTACAAATGACCAGACCCAGATGACTTACATCCAGCCCTTGTTAAAGATGATGGTGACTTTCTGGTTAAGGAATTGACCGAGTTATTTACAAAGGTATGGTAATTAGAGAGCGATCCAAAATCTTGGACTGAGTCTATAGTTGCCCCTACCTTTAAAACGCGTTCATGTTGTTTCTATAACAATTATCAGGGATAGGTTTAATTCCGATCGCATCCAAACTATTGTCTTCCGTCATACTTTGTAGATTATTTGAAAGATTAACTCGCAAAAAACAGGCTGGTGTGCGGTAGGGGTGACCAAACCAAAACTTGGTATCAATCCATGAATTCGATCGAGGTTGGACTGAGCTGCATAGGTAGGTTCAGAATCTCCAGTTGAAGTTCGCGTGATTATCTTAACCATTGGCTAGAAACCTTGAATGAAATTGTTGGGGTGATCCCGAAAAATTCTCGCACTCCATCCAATCAGTGTTTACTTGAAGTTTTAGCTAGAAACAACAAGGAAGTGAAACGCCACCTGTGGAGGTTCTGATTGGCTGATTGCTATACTGCAACTATGTTTAGTAGCATTCCAGAATCTTCGAGCAACCCAAGGACATTTAAAATATTATAAAAAACCCTATATTTTCTGTATTAAAATGAACCTTTGGAGTAAAGTACTTTCGCATACTTGCGCCTTCTCTCTCGTGTTCAGGTCGCTGTATAGTTCTAGCTTGGGGGTTTCAAGAATAGCTTAGGAATCGAGTATAGCGTTCAAATTGCAAGACTTATCAGAAATGACGTGGAAACGTTCCCATTGGCACATGTGAGATTCCACTCTCCCTCTCGATACGCTCCCACATGACCTCGCGTATACAGCCACTACCAGGGAAGTCCTACTTACTGCCTTCTCGCGGAGAGGGTATTGATTACGAAGTTGAGATGTGTAGAAGCGAATATCCAGCGCCTTAACCGGGTTGGTGGACACGGAGGGTCCACCTAAGGAAGTTGGGAAACCCTGATTACAAACCAATGGTGCACATGGGCTCTAGAATCCTTAAGGCACAAATGGCGTATGAATCCATTGTTGGTCACTGGCTACCACGGGACTGCACCTCTTAACGTTGTGGATTAAACCTTTAGGTCAAAGACTCTGAGTGTGGTTCCCTAAGAAAACTACCTGTTTTGGTTCGGGTGCTAGGGCAGTACTCCAACCTTTACACAAATCAAATGAGGAAGTGTGGCGTAATATAGTTGGTGCCTCCTTGTACCAATGTTTGTGTTTAAATAGATGAATAAAATCGCTATCGATGACGTTCTGGAAACAGCTCTGATGGATGCATGGAACGAGGGTGTGGATTTGTTGCATAGAAAAAGACCTTTCGACCCAAACCATGCAATCCGTACTTAATCAGTTGACAGTCCGTGTCTGTAGGTATGGTATGTGCTTCGCACCTTACAAGTGCAAAGTACCTTCACAAGACTGACAGGACCCTAATCCTGCGCTCACCTTGGATAGTGAGCAGGTAGAAGTAGTCGATAAGTTCGTGTATTCGGGTAGCTGCATAAGTGTTGGTGATGACGTGAGTGATAAGATCAACTCACGTAAAGTGAAGGCCAGAGCGGTTTATGCTAATTTGAGCCATCTTTGGCGTCTTCATGATGTTAGCCTGGCTACAAAAAACCTGATCTAAACGCGTCGGTGAGAGCAGTTGTGCTCCACACTTGTGAAACTTGGTCTCTGATTTAAGGATGTCAGTCGACTATCTGTGTTTGATCATTGTTGTCTCCGAAGGATCGCTGACATCCAGCGGCAACAATATGTTAGTAGTGCAGAGGTTCGACATCGTGTGTTTGGGCACAGCAACAATAATTCAGTTGGTGTCACCATATTAAAACATCTACTTCGGTGGCTTGGACATGTACTACGAATGTCGCTCCGGCGAATTTCATATTGTGCACTATTCGCCGACGCTCGGACTGGTTGGGAAAAACGGAGTGGTGGTCAGTGTATGACATGGTTTCATTGTATGAGAGAAAGCTGTACAGGACTGGCTTCTGTTAGTCCTTCACGACTCCCTGTTTATGGTCCTAGAGATAATGCAGCACAGTAGCTTAAGACGTTATCAGATATGACTAGGAATAGAAGACAGTGGCATTCCTGCTGTAACTGGTTTCTTTATAAAAAATCGACATGACTTCTTTAACTGGAAGAATTTTTTCTGGTTTTACCTTTTCTAACTAAACTGCCTGTCTCATTATTTTTATTTTACTATTACACATTAATTTCTCCTCGTTATTGTACTTCTTTGGTACTCCTTTTAGTGACAAACACTGCCACAGAACCTCACGATCAACAGAGTCAAATGCCGCCTTAAGGTCGAGAAATACTACCATTGTGGGGAGTCTGAATGTGTGTCTATGTTCTAGGACCTGACGTAGTGTCAATATCTGGTCTATACAACCACGTCCAGGCCGAAAACCAGACTGGTTTTCTCTAGTCTGCTCTTCACGAGCTTTAGTTAAGCGTCGAAGTATTATTGAAGCTAATATTTTAGACAGTATATTAGTCAAACTGATTCCTCTGTGATTGTCACAAGAGGACTTTTGTCCCTTCTTATAGATTGGCACAATCAGTGATTGAGACCAGTCAGATGGGATTAAGTTCAGTTACCAGATTCTGCCTAAGACATCAGTCAATCTCGCTGCTAATACTGGACCGCCATTCTTAAAAATCTCAGGGGTAAACCCCACAGGGCCTACTGCTCTCCCACACTTCAGATTTCCTATAGCTTCGTCAACTTCGTAAAGAGTTGGAGGACTTACATCAACTCGCCATTCAGGTCGACTGAAGATCGTGTGAAACCAAAATGTGGCTGAAGGTCAGTTGAACTGATCCCTAAAGTGTACTGACCATCGATCGAATCTCCTGGACTGAGAATGAATAATATATCCATCTTTCTCTGAGATTGTTTCGCTAACAGTTGGGTTCCTAATCCCGGTTTCCTTAGCAAGTCTGAACAGCTGTCTGCTGTTACCTATTGCCGCTGCCTTTTCCATCTCTCTTGCTTTCGCTACCCACCACTGTTCTCTATTATTGCGTAGGCTTCTTATCAGTCTGAACTTAAGCTCACTCCGCTCTTCGTCATGTTCAGAGCCAGATAGGATGAGCTTTCGAGCATCTAGCAGTGTGGCAGTTGCTGAAAATATCCAGTGCTTCTCCCTAACCTTATGGCTTACCTTACTAGCAGATATCACTGCTGTTTCCACAACTTTTCGGATATCATCCCACGCTGCCTCGGGGTGGGTATCATTTACATGGCTGCCTAACTATTTTTCTAGTTGTTTATGAAATATATTCTTAGCTTGGTTATCATTAAGTAGGACCCTAAGAGATCGCCAAGTCGAAAGATATTTTTCCTTATGCTTAAAGTTAGTATTTGCTAGAAACAGGTGATTGTCTGAGCATAGCTGCAACAGACCGTCACCATCATCTATTCTTTGAGCCACGACACCATAAGATCCACCCAGGTGTTTCTCCCTTTCGCATAGTTTACCTACTTGAGCATTAAAGTCACCAGCCACTATTACTACATCTGAACGCCTAGCTTTTCGGAGAAGATCGGAAAGCTTTCTGTAAAACTCAAATTTTACATCATCTGAGCTGCAGTCAGTGGGAGAGTAGGCGGAGACGACGAAGAGACAACGACGAGTATCCCTATATTTCAGATTCCTTACTGTTCCGTTTAGTCTGACAGCGCACAAACGACTGTCTACTGGTATCCAGTCTAAGATAGTTAATTCTGCCCTAGGACTCAATGCTATACCTACACCGATGAGGCCACGGGAAGCAGCATCGGGGCTTCCAAATACACAAAGCGTGAATCGAGATGGTTCTTTATCTTGATATGGTGAGGTCAAATAAATTACATTGCTCGGATCCCGTATGTGCGTTTCGGAGACGCAGCACACATCGATGGAGCGAGATTCTAAAGTCCTAGCTAAGGAAGCCTGTTGTCCTATTTGGCACAGTGTTCGGACGTTGAAAGCTCTTACGTGTAGTTTAGAGCGTGGTTTCAGAAGACCTGGGATAACGTTCCGCGTACTCGAATCGTTTGCCCTAGCGGGTCGAGGTGATAAAAGGACGTGAGAAGGGTTAGTCATCGAGATAAGAGAGGTATTAGGAGGTGTAGGAAGGATTTGAATGTGAACAACTTGGTCTCGCGTGCTGTTACAGGTATGAGGGCTGATGTCACTCCCCGGCTGTTTTTTATTTTATTTTGTTTTAACACATAGATATTGGTCCAAGGAGGTACCAAATACATATGCACCACACGAATCTCAATTGATTTGTGTGAGGGCTGTGATACTGCCCGGGTGCCCAAACCGAAGCAGGTGGTTTTCTTAGGGGACCACACCCCGAGCCTTCGACCTGAACGTCTGATCCACAAGGCAGTGGAGCATCGTGAGGAGATGCAGTCCCATGGTAGCCGGTGACCAACGATTGGTTCATACGCCATTTGTTCCTTCAGGATACTGGATCCCATGTGCACCATTGATTTGGGATCCGGTTAAAGCGCCGGACATTCGCTTTTCGTCCACTCATTTTCGTAAACAACACCCGTGGTGCGAGAAGGCAATGAGTAGGACTTCCCTGGTAGAGGCTATATACGCGTGGCCATGTGAGGGTATTTCGAGAGGGAGAGCGGACTCTCCCCACTCTCGGCCATACCAGGGCATTTGGGGTCCCCGGCTGTCCACATCGTGGAAGGGTATTTCTTGAGGAACCTGGTCTTAACGACCTGGGAGCGTGACCGCAGAGCCCAAGGGAAAACTGCTTGAGGCCGGTCGCGCACGGCCTTTGTGTGGGAGGTTATAACGTGTTAGCTCCGTTCTTCAAAAGGCCTTACCACCGGAGACGGAAATCCATGAGGTAAGGTGAGGTGTGACATTTTTAGGGTTTACCTTTTTTAACCCCTTCCTTCCATGTGATAAGGCAGCACAGCTGAAGATGCTTGTTGTCCGAGGGAAACACATTACTCCTGTCACATCCCTCTACAGTCAGCAGTACGACTTCGCCTTCAGACCTTGAGTTGCTGCTTTCAGTCTTACCGTTCTCCAATCGACCTGTCTGGAATGGTAGAACCTAAAGGAACATATGTTCCAGCCAACATACCGCGGTTGGATCATCACGATAGACAAGCCCGACCACCACGCCAAGGTAGAAGCTACGGTCAGGTCATCTGTCTATGAAAGAAAGGAGGATATAAATTGTTTATTGAATAAACCTAAAACACTCCAAAACTAAATCAGTTTTTCATATGGAAAGAAGAACAACCAGCTTTCTTTCTTTGACACATAAGTAAGAGAGAAGATCGTTCAATAAAACAATCCATTTTTAGAAAGCTAGACTGAACAGGCCAGTACCTTAGTTATATATCACTGTGTCACATGACATACGCATTTTGATAGATCTCATTGACATATTTCGGTAATTACTGCTTTGTTGTTCCGTGCTCTCTGTTTTCGTTTTAATTTCTCTAGTTGTAGATATTTATCATTAAATCGATCTGGCACACGAAATGACCTTAATTACACCGTTCATAAATCAACAAGCTGTCCAGTTATGAAATATTAAATGTTCCAGGCTGATGCATTGGATCGATGTAATACCTAAGCAATTACTGAACTAGTAACTTTAAAACTACTAACATATGTTCGTTCTGTACATATAATGATATTATTTATACCAACTTGATCATGCCTGTAAACTGGCGTGAATTCTGTAATTATTATTTTCAGAATATAAATTATATATATATATATATATATATATATATATATATATATATATATATATATATATATATATATATATATATATATATAACTAAGGTACTGGCCTGTTCAGTCTAGCTTTCTAAAAATGGATTGTTTTATTGAACGTTCTTCTCTCTTACTTATGTGTCAAAGAAAGAATGCTGGTTGTTCTTCTTTCCATATGAAAAACTGATTTAGTTTTGAAGTGTTATATATATATATATATATATATATATATATATATATATGCAGAGGTATTACAATAACTGTACAAAAAGAACACTCACATTGAGCTTCGGTCTTCCAAATAAAAACGGATGACCTATTAGTTTGGTAGACTGACAAATATCAGCACAAGCTATATCGTCAGGCGAACAAAATTTACACTGATCCAGTGATGAATAATCAGCTTGTGAAAAATTAACTCCATTTATATAATGTTGAATTCCTGCTAACCAATCAGGCCACATACGTTTTAGCCGTGTAGTCATAAACGATTTCGATAACAAATGATTTTTAGCTAAGGATAATATGCCAAGCAAACCATTAAGATCTTGAGTTATCTAAGAAAAAGTATATACAAAATAAGTAGCCGTTATAAAAACAATCAACAGGGCTAGACTATAATTTATGGACGAACCAATTAAATTTAGGATAACTGGTTTCGGATTTTAGGTTTTACAAAAGGTTGTTTAGTAGAAAGCTCATAAAACATATTCAAAGTATCACATTAAGCGAGATGTGTAAGTCTGTGTGACACAAGACCTTTATGTCTATAAAAATCCAGCTTCACAAAAAATACGACTTCATGACCTCAACTCAAGAATCCTCACTAAGTTTCATCAATATTTCCAGATCAAATTGATAAAATGTCATATATGAAAATCGAATACTTAAAACCATATCACATCAAATGCAGGTATGGTTAATAAGAACGTTTGTCTAAATTTGAACGAATAGTTTCACAATATTTGGGTGCCGAGTTAATGCGAGACATTAAAGAGGAAAAATGTATTTGTAAAATCTCAGCGAAAAATTTTACATTTTTCCTCTTTAATGCAGGTATGGTTTTCACAATTCGATGAATGCACAATTGGCAATTACGACTTTCAATTTGGCATGAATGTATGCTTTATGCATATGCCATGCCTAATGAACAAGTTGTGTTTATATGTGTTCAGAAACAAAGCTTGACCTTAAGAATAATGATCTTTATTGATTTCTTAACAATCACTAAAAATACATATATTAAGTCTCAGTTCGTAAGTTATAAACAATTAAGCACATCGAATTGCCGAACGGTTTATCTCAGCAGTCATTCCCTCACAGCACAACTATGGTCTAATCGATGAGTGTGATTTTAATCGGTTTAATTAGTATTACGGTTACACTACAAGTTAGCGGAAACTTTGCAGAAACCCCGTAGATTCTAGCCATAATTTCTGATGAATACACTCATATCATTGTCTCAAAAACACGAAATGAATCAATTTACTTACTTACGCCTGTTACTCCTAATGGAGCATAGGCCGCCGATCAGCATTTACTATACTTAATATAATGGGAATTTTTCAGAGATCTTAAGTCACTGCCAATTTATCGGCTACAGCCTTTCATAATCACGGTCACGTCTTGGCTTGATCCTGTATAATTGTTATTTTTCAATTTTATGGCATGATGTGGTCTTGTTCGCTTGTATATAAACCAAGTATGTCTGAAATATATAACTCGTATGGTGGAAGCTGATATCTGTGTTCTGATATCAACAGGCAGGACTAGACGAGAAGGACCAGTAAGGACTCTAGACTGATCATACCGGTCAATACGTCATTGCGTTGGCACAATACTAAGATTTTATAAGTCGTGTTTTGATTGGTGATCTCATCACATAAGAATTGACAGGCCATAAGCCATAAAAATTGGCTACAGGGTTTTTGCGAAAAAAGAAAGCAATAACACCATAAACTTGTGTAATTATCATTGCCTGAAAAAATTGAAGATGGTGGATATGATACCAGTAGTAAGACGATGAAATATTTGTCGTAATAAAAGAAATGCTCTATGACGACTAAGAATTTCTAAATGGTAGCGATTAGTTGAGAATAATTAATGTTTTACATTACATAAAAGACTAAGATTATACCATATACTCGTGTAGATTAGAACTAAAGCCAGATTATCTGTTGATGAAAGAGCTAATACTGAAGACATGATACAAGTTTACTGAATAAAAGTATCTACAAACACATCCAACTGTGAAACAATGAATTTTATTGGTTCATTAACAATAATCACAGAAATAATAATACATCCATATGTACACTGGTCATACCTGAGCTTCTCTATGACGTTTCAGAAATTTTCTGCTATCCAATCGTGGACAGAAACTTTCAACCTATTTCGAAAAGAAACGAAGTATAAGAGAATTAGATGAAAAACCCTTGGAAATTCAAAAGTGATGATTGAAAATGAAACATTTCAATTCAAAAACATTGAAAAATCTAACTGCTTTCGAATTCTTCTTAACGTTTTAAAAAATGGATATCAAATGGATAGAATACCAGTAAATTAATTCCTGCAAAAATATGTTTTTATAACTGAAACACCATAGTCTATGTTAATGATATACGAAAAGTCTTGATAATAAATTTTACGACAATCCAATTTTGAAGCAAACTTGGATAGTACCTAGCAACAAAAATCCAAGATACGTGTTTCGTTTTACCTGGAATTAACCAGTTGCAGTCATTAACATCAACAACGGAAAGACTCAAACAAATTACAAATGAAATAATCACATTTTTAGTCGGAAATATAATTGCTAAAATTAAGCAGATAAAACAATGAACAGTTCAGAGTTACTATTGAATCGTTTGACTTTAATTTACAGATTTACAGAAACTTGATTATTTCATTCAGTTAAGCCTTAAGTCGTGGCTTATTTAAACGACAGGTACTGGTAAAAAAAGTCCTAAGCGAAATATTTTTGACTTCTTTAAAGCGTTATATATATATATATATATATATATATGATGCTAGATCACCATTGAAAACCTGAAAGCACAGGACGGCCACTTCCTCTCAGTATGGGACTCCTCAGCAGCGTGCATCAAACCCACGACCTTCGGTTTCGTGTGTAGACACCTAAACTCTAAGCCACTGAGCCGACGTCCAACGATGTTAGGGTCTAACCTCAATGATGGCCATGGATGCGCACTGCTGAGGAGTCACATACTGAGACAAAACGATCGTCCAGTGCTTCCAGGTGATCTAACATTGATCGGTTTATGGTTTCAATGAAACTCAACAAACTCCAAGACCACATACTGATTATATATATATATATATATATATATACTCTTCCAAATAATTTGTATGTTGGATTTACATCTATTTGCTTGTCGAATGACATTTACCTTGAATAGTAATTCCAGATTATTTTTACGTTTTACAAAAACTAAGCAGTAACAAACACATAACTCATATTTTTTAGAGGATTTATGTTCAATAGGTGGTGATAAACTAATCTTCGAGTTATTTTCTTATAAATTTCCGACACAGACATATGCAGTGGATTTTTAGTGTTTAGAATTACATGCTATCCAGAGCACAATACTCAAGTGTATGTGATATCATTTACTAGTGCAATCCTATTTGAATAGGAATAAAGTATAAATTCGAGTGGAAAACTTTGACTTTCCAAAATAACAACAACATCACCGTACACACACATAAATAATAAAGGCGATGAATTACAGACATTTTAAGATATACCGACAGTAGGAGATCGATGAGATATATAGCACCATTAAATACAAATATTCTTCACCAAAAAAATAACTAACAGGATTCATGTATAAATTAACCAAAGTAAAACAAAGATAAAATATAGAAGTCTAATGCAAATATTAGGTACAATATTAAACTACATAACTCTAAACAGTAAGATCAAATTTATATGTGAAAAAACCTGATAAACTAAGCCTCAGTAGAATATGAAAAAGACAGATTATTTATACAGTTAAAACACACGTGCAAAACTAGATGCACTTAATAACCCAAATATTGAATAAATTATTAATTACTAATCCACGAAATTGAGCGACACATCCACTATTGTCATCAGTGAGTTAGTATCTCATAACTGACCCAGTTGAACTCCACTGGTCACTGCTTCTCATAAGAACTCCAGGATATACCTCTTGAAGTCAGTCACTAGTGAGCATATGTTCATTAGTACCAGAAGGGATTTTGTGGAGATTATAGTAATTTCAATAATTGAGATCATGAGTCAATTGAAGCTAGACCACCATGGAAAACCTGGAAGCACTGGACGGCCGTTTCGTCCTATTGTGGGACTCCTTGGCTTGAAGTTAGACATTAACACCTCTGGATGCCTGCTCAGTGGTCTAGTTAGTTAAGCGCCTGGCGCAAGACTGATAGGTCCTGGGTTCAAATCCCGCGAGGCGGGGTCGTTGATGCGCATTGCTGAAGAGTCCCATACTAAGACGAAACGGCCGTTCAGTGCTTCCAGGTTTTCCATGGTGGTCTAGCTTCAATTGACTCATGATCTCAATTATTGAAATTAGTGTAATCTGCACAAAACCTCTCGTGATATTAATTACTAAAACAAATGTTTTATTTATGGAAAAAAGCTGAAATAATTATCAACAGTTCGAACTTGGTATATCCTTGTTTCCATATCAACAGATTTTCAACAAGTAATTCGGTACAAGGCTAAAAAAAGTATTCCTGGTGGAAAGCCGACTCACAAACTATGCCAAACGTTGATGTGAATTGTTACAAAGAGACAAATACACCGAATGGCTGTAACGAAAATCCATGAGGCAAAGTGAGATGCATTATTTTTAAAGTAAACCTTAACTAACTCCTTCCTTTCACCGTAGGGAAGCAATATTACTGAAGATGCTGATTGAGTGAGGGTAACACCTTACTGTTGTCACACTCCAGTACAGTCAATAGTACAATTATGCACTAGGATTTTGAGTCATATCGGACTCCAACCGACCTGCCTAGAATCGTTGAACCTAAAGGAATAAATGTTCTAGCTAATATAACTCAACCAGAGGTCTTTATAACAGGCAAGTCCAGCCACTATATCAAGCAGCAGCTACGACCCGAGCGATTTCGATAACACACATTACAACCAATTAAACTATTGTTAATGTATTCTTTGGAAAAGCTCAGAATCATGTAAATAAAAGTAATGACAGTAACAGTTGCTTAACCTTTCAGAGCAATCTCTGATTACTTACAACTTTATCAAGAACTATAATCATCATGAAACAAAACATTATCATAGATATTTTCAGACATTTTTTCACAAAATAAAATTGAATGAAGCATCACTGAAAATCGGCGAACACTTAGTAATTGTTCCGTCCTGGCTTGGGGACCATCCGTCATGTCCACCACTCCTGATTCTAAAAGGAGTCGAACACACCTAACCTCACAGAGATCACATTACCTTTAAGCAATTGAGTTAAAATCTAGTAGTCCAAATTTCTAACTTCCATCAATTCTTGATATGGTATTATGATTGTTCAATATCATCAGTGATACTTGCCTTATACCCACTCTATAGTTCAACTCTATCAATCATGATTTTCCACTAGGATGTCCAGAATTTATTATGAAGTTAGTTATTAATGAGTACATGATTACTGTTTAGTTGGTTGGTTGTTGAAAATAGTTTGGATGATTGTAGACACTGTTGAGACAAGCTATCACAAGCTCTGATCAATACTAGATTTAAATACATCGGTTAATCTATTTTCGACTAATTAGCTCTAGTAGACAAATCAAGATGCTTGGAAATTCTCATGTAAATTTGATGAAAACTCTAACGCTTTTACGGATTTGTTGTTGGAGTGAACATATTGTTTGTTCTCAATTCAATTTTGGAAGAGTTAAGCGAAGTACGGTGTCCAGACAAATTTTGTAAAGAATAAATCCATGCTCTTTAAATTCAGAGACCAAATTATTCAATATAACACTTACCTCACTAAGATACCGGACAAGTGAACATTCTGATCCATCGATTCCTAACTCAACATAACATGAATGAGTTCCCCAACGGGTTCGCAGCCACTAGTAAAGCAGAATGAATCAAACGTAAACAATGAACACACCAACCAGTTGTCGAAACTTTAATAATAATAATAATAATAATAATTTTAAAATGACTACAGAATGTAAGCCGATTTACAGACATAATAGGGCTGATGTAAAACGAGAGTCGTAATAAAAAGAAAACTTGAGTACACTGTTTGAACGGAAATGACTCATAAATTATTTTGATAGAATATCTGTGATAGAAACTCCGCCTGGAGTCCCTTTCCGGGGGCTACTGCCGGTCCCAAGCCCGGATAAAGGAGGAGGGTTGGGCATGGGGTTAGCGACCCCATCCCGTAGAAAACTAACTCGCTAAAAAAACGCTAACCAGAAAAAATTATTCAAACCATTTAAACTCTGCCCTGGGTGTCAGGAGGTCTTCGTTTAGAAGAATTATGACGCCTCATGATGAAAGCCGAGTTTCTTCGGAAGTCACGAGGCCGATGCCCCTTCTGACAACCAGAGCAACCATTTATTTAGGTACATGGAATGCTCGCACAATGTGGGAGACTGGGAGAGTTTTCCAAATTGCTGCAGAAATGAGGAGATACAATTTACAGGTGCTTGGGACCAGTGAAACACATTGGACGCAAGTTGGACAACAACGACTAGCTTCAGGGGAGCTGCTGTTATACTCCGGACATGAAGAAGAAAATGCCCCACATACACAAGGAGTTGCATTGATGCTGTCCAAACAAGCACAAAATGCACTTATAGGATGGGAATCTCATGGACCAAGGATCATCAAAGCCTCCTTCAAAACAAAGAAAACGGGGATTACAATGAACGTCATCCAATGCTACGCGCCTACCAATGACTACAATGAAGACGCTAAAGATCAATTCTACGATAGCCTGCAGTCAATCGTCGAGAAGTGCCCAACAAAGGACCTGACTATTCTGATGGGAGATTTAAATGTCAAGGTTGGAATTGACAACACTGGATATGAAGAGATCATGGGACGACACGGACTGGGAGAAAGGAACGAAAATGGTGAGAGATTTGCAAACCTATGTGCCTTCAATAAAATGGTCATAAGTGGCACTATATTCCCACATAAACACATCCACAAAACCACATGGACTTCACCGGATCACAGCACACAGAACCAAATCGACCATATCTGCATCAACAAAAAGTTCAGGAGGACGATAGAGGACGTGAGAACAAAGAGAGGAGCTGATATAGCATCAGATCATCACTTGCTGGTCGCCAAGATGAAATTGAAACTCAAGAGGCACTGGACAACGGGGAGGACAATATCACAAAAATTTAATACGGCTCTTCTTCGGGATAATGACAAACTCAATAAATTCAAGATAACCCTCAGCAATAAGTTCCAAGCCTTTCATGATCTACTCAATGGAGAAGGAACTACTATGGAGAGCAACTGGAAAGCGATAAAAGAGGCAATCACTTCAACATGTCATGAGGTTCTGGGCCAAAAGAAGCACCATCACAAGGATTGGATCACTGTGGATACACTGGATAAGATTCAAGAAAGGAGGAACAAGAAAGCAGCAATCAATACCAGTCGAACAAGAGCAGAAAAAGTCAAGGCACAGGCTGAATACACAGAAGTAAACAAGCAAGTGAAAAGGAGCATCAGAACTGACAAACGTAAATATGTCGAAGATTTGGCATTGACGGCGGAAAAGGCTGCGAGAGAAGGAAACATGAGACAACTGTATGACACGACAAAGAAACTCTCCAGAAATCACCGTAAACCAGAACGACCAGTGAAAAGCAAGGAAGGCAAGATAATCACCAACATTGAAGAACAACGAAACAGGTGGGTAGAACACTTCAAAGAACTCTTGAATCGACCAGCCCCACTGAACCCACCCAACATCGAAGCAGCACTCACGGACCTCCCAATTGATGTTGGCGCACCAACAATTGAAGAAATCAGCATGGCTATCAGACAAATCAAGAGTGGCAAAGCAGCAGGACTAGACAGCATTCCAGCAGAGGCACTGAAAGCAGACGTAGCGGCAACTGCAAGGATACTCCACATTCTCTTCAGAAAGATCTGGGATGAGGAACAGGTACCAAAAGACTGGAAAGAAGGACTTCTGGTCAAAATACCAAAGAAAGGCGATCTCAGCAACTGTGACAACTACAGGGGAATCACTCTTCTTTCAATACCGGGAAAAGTCTTCAACAGGGTATTGTTAAACAGGATGAAGGACTCCGTAGACGCACAACTTCGAGACCAACAGGCAGGATTCCGTAAGGATAGATCGTGCACAGACCAAATCGCAACTCTACGGATCATTGTGGAACAATCAATTGAATGGAATTCATCACTCTATATCAACTTCATCGACTGCGAAAAAGCATTTGATAGCGTGGACAGAACAACCCTATGGAAGCTTCTTCGACACTACGGCGTGCCTCAGAAGATAGTCAATATCATACAGAATTCCTATGATGGATTAAACTGCAAAATCGTGCATGGAGGACAGTTGACAAATTCGTTCGAAGTAAAGACCGGTGTCAGGCAAGGTTGCTTACTCTCACCCTTTCTCTTTCTCCTGGTGATCGACTGGATCATGAAGACATCAACATCTGAAGGGAAGCACGGGATACAGTGGATATCTAGGATGCAATTGGATGATCTAGACTTCGCAGATGATCTGGCTCTTCTATCGCATACGCAACAACAAATGCAGGAAAAGACAACCAGTGTAGCTGCAGCCTCAGCAGCAATAGGTCTCAATATACACAAAGGGAAAAGCAAGATTCTTCGATACAACACAGCATGCACCAATCCAATCACAACTGACGGAGAAGCTTTGGAAGATGTAAAAACCTTTACATATTTGGGCAGTATCATCGATGAACACGGTGGATCTGATGCAGATGTGAAGGCACGGATTGGCAAAGCAAGAGCAGCATATTTACAACTGAAGAATATCTGGGACTCAAAACAATTAGCAACCAACACCAAAGTCAAAATTTTCAATACAAATGTCAAGACAGTTCTACTGTATGGGGCGGAAACCTGGAAAACTACGAAATCCATCGTCCAAAAGATACAGGTGTTTATTAACAGTTGTCTACGCAAAATACTTCGGATCCGTTGGCCGGACACTATTAGCAACAACCTACTGTGGGAGAGAACAAATCAGATCCCAGTGGAGGAAGAAATCAGGAAGAAGCGCTGGAAGTGGATAGGACACACATTGAGGAAAGCACCGAACTGCGTCACAAGACAAGCCCTCATATGGAATCCTCAAGGTCGAAGGAAGAGAGGAAGACCAAAGAATACATTACGCCGAGAAATGGAGATAGATATGAGAAAAATGAACAAGAATTGGATGGAACTAGAAAAGAAGGCTCAGGACAGAGTGGGTTGGAGAATGCTGGTCGGCGGCCTATGCTCCATTGGGAGTAACAGGCCTAAGTAAGTAAGTAAGTAAACTGTGATAGAGTTGTGAATAACGTAAAGCATAAAATTTATGGAAAAGCGCATAATCATAGGTGATTTCACTTTAATGTACAGTAATATCGACGAAATATACACCGTTATAATCCCAAGTATTAGAAGGATATAGTTGTCACTAATAAGCATTCTATGATAAATAGTTAGATGTACTAAGATAGACTGCGCCCCCAAATGCCCTGGTACGGCCGAGAGTGGGGGGAGTCCGCTCCCCCTCACGAAATGCTCTCATATGGCCACGCGTATACAGCCCCTGCCAGGGAAGTCCTACTCACTGCCTTCTCGCACCACGGGTGTTGTTTACGAAAATGAGAGGACGAAAAGCGAATGTCCGGCGCTATAACCGGACCCCAAACCAATGGTGCACATGGGCTCCAGTATCCTGAAGGAACAAATGGCGTATGAACCAATCGTTGGTCACCGGCTACCATGGGACTGCATCTCCTCACGATGCTCCACTGCCTTGTGGATCACATCTTCAGGTCGAAGGCTCGGGGTGTGGCCCCCTAAGAAAACCACCTGCTTCGGTTTGGGCACCCGAGCAGTATCACAGCCCTCACACATATCAATTGAGATCTGTGTGGCGCATATGTATTTGGTGCCTACTTGTACCGATATTTATGTGTTAAAATAAATAAAAATAATAATCTACAATGTTATGGAGGTTTTAGAATAGCGTATGTCATAAATTTTTCACGAAAAACACACTTAGCAGTTTATTCGCTAGAGTCCAGCTAGAATTTCTGAACTACTTTAGTATTCGACCTTTAACTGAAGCCTTTGTAATTGTTATTGGGCAACGATTTATTGTGAGATGGCATAGTACGTTTAATTTTCTAAAGAGAACCGAATTTGGTGAGGCAACACAATTACCAGTAAAAAGGTCCAACCAAGTTATTGAATTATATTCATGATCGTAATAGATTTATCGATACTTGATATTCTTAAGAAGCTGTCATATTTGTTTATGAAACCAGAGAATAAATTAGCTTTTCGGGCCAAGTCTTTCTTTTTAATAAAAAGACTGAAATGTCAACGTTATATATATATATATATATATATATATATATATATATATATATATATATATACCTCTTATCAAAAGCTTTGACTTATTGGCCATGGTTATACGATTTACTATTCTTAATTTATTCCCAATTTATCAGTTACAGTAGCCCACACTCATAGCCACTTTTGACCTGATCTTGTATAATAATTATTTTTCATTTTATGGTGTGATGTGGTCTAAACCGCTTGTATATAAACCAAAAGTGTCTGAAATATTAGATTTATACAGCAGAGATTCATATTTGTATTCCAGACTGGACAGGCTGGATTAGGTGAAAAGCTAATATACAGAGGACTAGTAAGGACTCTGAGTTGACTCAAGGCAGCTCGTGCTGATTAACACATTATTGATTTAGCACAAAGACAAGGTCATATTAGTCGGAGTCCTGACTGACAATTTTCTCACATGATATTTCGTGGGCCATAGGACATAAAAAATGTAAATTAATGAACCAAAAGAAACATTTTGAGAATGGAAGATATGAGATAAGTTACATTATCAATCATTGCCAATTAAATACTTAACAAAACAAAAGAAAACAGGAAAACAGTCACCTTTTTTTCAAATTTGTCTTTAGTTTATTAGAGATATAAGAGAAATTATTATATGAAAAGTATTTATGTTTGTGAAACGCAATCCTTAAGAGAATACGGTATGAGGAATCCAATCTCAGGTGCACTTAGCAGTAGACAAACGTAAACATCCTTAACCTTCAAACTCCTAAGCAAGTCTTTTTAAAATAATTTCATTGCTGGCCTCAATGTCACGTTTATAACTATTGAGCTCGAGGTTAGACTTCCCAGTCCCAACCCCGCTTTACCCTAGACAGGCGTGTTATGTCTTGAGGACCCTTGATGAATATCATGTGACAAATCACTAAATAGAATCCAGATTCTAGTTCGGTCTATTTCGCGCCTAGTGTCTCTGACTTGTCCAATCGCATACCAAATCAGCACCATTAAACTCGGGCCAATAGCTAAGTTCCTATTAATCCATTATTGGCAAGTCTCTTTCTATGCCCTGCCCATGAGTGCGAAAATCACTAACCAGTTTCTATGATAAGTGGAATATATATATATATATATATATATATATATATATATATATATATATATATATATATATATATATAAAGCGAATGTCCTGCGCTTTAACCGGACCCCAAACCAATGGTGCACATGGGATCCAGTATCCTGAAGGAACAAATGGCGTATGAACCAATCGTTGGTCACCGGCTACCATGGGACTGCATCTCCTCACGATGCTCCACTGCCTTGTGGATCACATCTTCAGGTCAAAGGCTCGGGGTGTGGTCCCCTAAGAAAACCCCCTGCTTCGGTTTGGGCACCCGGGCAGTATCACAGCCCTCACACAAATCAATTGAGATTCGTGTGGCGCATATGTATTTGGTGCCTCTTTGTACCAATACCTATGTGTTAAAATAAATAATATATATATATATATATATATATATATATATATATATATATATATATATATATATAGTTACAACAAAATTATAATTAGTAATAATCCAAAAAAAACCAGTTCAAACCTCTGCGGTATTTGTTTCGTTACAACAAACCGGATGACTGATAATATAGAATTTTACTTACTACCATGTTTTGTTACTTCAAATTGTAAAACTGTAAACAACTTATGTCATAAAAATGAAACATATTTACAAAACTTACTTCAATCTTTGAAAAACATTCCGGGTATAGTGGTATTTCTTTAGCTTGAACAACACAGTTTTCTTGTGCATCTTGTAGAAGATCTGAAAAATCAAAGCAATGACAAAATGAGTAAACAAACATAACTCAAAATAAACTTTGGAAAACTACAGACTATACATTTTTTATAAAGACCGAAAAAAATCAGTTACATTAAACTCTTACTGAACTCCTTTAAGGGAAATAAACCACTGAGTAATAGCGATCATTTCATGGATATCGACTTGGAGGTTCGCACTTCCCTATATGGCACGGGCAAGTAGTCGTTGATATCATGAACTGTTATATCTTATACTGGTGTACTTAAACTTTTCCAATCTATTTCAGTCTAGCATGTCTCATTTTCTTTAATTACAGTAGAAATTTATACATCAGTGATTCATTTTCTCTTTAAAAATACGGGTGAAAAATTAGTTATCGCTCATTCATTGTTCAGAATGGTTTATGTCCCCACTGGGAAGTATGTTTAGAGCAGCATTCCTACAGTTGAAGAACATATGGAACTCAAAACAACTGCCAACCAATATCAATGTCAGAATCTTCAATATGAATGTCAAAATAGTGCTAATGTACGGAGCTGAAACTTGGAGAACTACTACAGCTATCATCAAAAAAGTACAAGTATTTCTAAATAGTTGTCTATACAAGATGTCCGTTGGCCGGATACCATCAGTAACAGACTACTGTGGGAGAGAACAGACCAACTTCTAGCTGAGGAGGAAATTAGGAAAATATACAGCAAGTAGATAGGATATACATTGCGAAAACCATCAAACTGTATCACGAGGTGAGCCTTAACTTGGAGTCCTGAAAGGAAGTGTAAAAGAGGAAGGTCAAAGAACATACTGAGTCGAGAATTGGAAGCAGACATGGAAAGAATGAATAGGAACTGGAAAGGACTGTCCAGGACAGAGTTGGATGGAGTGCTAGTGGGTGGCCTATGTCCCTCCACGAGGAGTAACAGGAAATGTTTATCTAGTAGATATATCACAAATTGTAATATAGGTTTAAGTACCATAGAAATTAAAAACAAAACCATAAACTAACCAAGAGAGCTTACTCAAATAGTTAATTTTCTTGTAGTCTGATTTCTCATTATTACTCATTTTCAAACCTCGGGCAGTATGAGGTACAAATGGTGCCGAGTTTATAGAATCGGAATAATGTCTAGTTACTTCAGTAGATAAATACGTTAAATTAGAGAGTTTCGATTCTATCTGGTCAATACGACGTAGCACGTCGTCTAGAATAACGGCCAATGTTTTCTTTAAATCTGAAAACAGGGAGAAAAATATAAGTGGCTCAAAGTTCAATTGAAACTAATCACTTATTAACTTTAGTCACTTTAAAAATGGTATAAAATATCTTTACAATTGAAGTAAACGTCAACGTGCAACCACTGAAATCGAAAGGAATACAAAGTAAATATCCTTTAGAATTCAAATATTTTATTGATATAACCTTATATCCGGAATCGTCGTGATCTTTTAGCTATGAATATTTTCCATCGCTTTATAGCTGAATACAAACTCGTGTACTATTTGTAAAACCACAGCCTAATATTCGAAGACTAGTGTAACTACACACTAGGACCAATTTTAAAACAATCAATCAAATCTTAATTGTTAGTTTCATGAATCTCCATAAGTTAAGCAGTAAAAATGTATTTTGTTTTGACAGTAAGAAAAAGTTAACTAACCGTCAATCAGTGAAAGTGATTCGTGGTAATTTAGAAAATTATAAGCAAGTCTTACAGTTATTACTAACCTTTTCTAAGTCAAATTGGATTTCATTTGATTAGAAAGTGATTATACTTTCTACTGACAAATAAATGATGACGTACAAGAGATGTAGAATGATGCAGAGGAACTTTGACTAAATTTGAGTCTATCATGAGATTGAGGAAGAACAAGTATATTAAGTAAATTCTTCTCACTTGTCCTCTTCCATGATCTGTAATGTTCATTCTAAGTAACTGTTTCCCTTTGGAAAGAATCCAGTACACAGCTCATAAAATTCTTGAGAAAAATAAAATACCTAAGATTCAGACAACGAATTAACACTGAACATACAGTAGATTAAAAATGTTCTGACTGATGGCAGTGACTTGGTAATATCCATCGATATCAAAGCCGTTTCACTTTGAAAGTAATACTAGAAGAGAGTTATCGATTTCTCTGCCGCATTGATGACGCAAATTTCCTATAACATACAAGGTTTATCATCTCTTAACAGGTGGAAGAAAGAATGATAGTGTAAATAGTATCCGAAAATTTTACAAGGACGTTTTTATAGATGGGAAACTAAAATCCACGGAATACTATTACATACATATCAGATATTATCATGATTTGTTGATGAGATATACTAAATAATGATGATTCTAATACGAAAACCTATCAAATGTATTACGAACATGAATTTATTGAATTAACAATTAAATTAATAAAAGCACAATTTACTGACTTGACAGTAAAGTACATACCATATCCCGTCAACTCTGCGCTGTAAGGATCATCAAAACCCACATTCTGAGTTTCGGCCAAAGCTTTGACATACTTTCGGGAGAGGTTAATAATATCAGCCTATAGAATATCAAAGCATATAATGTCAATCTTTTTTACAATATAATTAATCAAAACTATACGTAAACTTTCGTATGTTGTTACTTTCTATTGATAAACCTATGGTAAGAATTATATTTTAAAATCAAAAGAACACTGCTTCAAAGCTCACCCACAACTTCAAGCACGATTAAGCAGTAAGTAGGATAGTATACATCAATGAACAATACATTTTCAGCAAGAACATTAAACATGTCTACAGAAATCTGTCTTTCGTTTCCCTTTTCTTGAGAACGCGGTCACAGATGTAACTTTTTGGTATATTTATTCTCTGAAACTACTTTGGCTATCAGATATACTTCTAAATAAATAATAGTTAATTAGGATGAAATCCAACCAACTTATTTATTTATTTATTTGAACACATAAATATTGGTACAGGGGGGCACCAAATATATATGCGCCACAACCAACTAAACTTTTTTGTCTCCTACATGTGATAAACTGGTCTTCTATTAGCTGAACAATTATTAATTATCAACTGATTTTGGGGTGTCCATAACATAAGTAGTCAGTTTTATACCACAGACGCACAATATAAATTTAGTGAACATGACATCTAGCAAGTACAAGTAAAATATTGATGGTGAATTGATATAGAGTGCTAGAATTAGACCTAGAATCTAAATCCTTGTTTACTGAAGAATGAGAGAGTTATAAAATTGATTTCTACTGAAATCAAGAACCAATCCAAGTTAAGTCACTATTGAAAACCTGAAAGCACTGGAGGGCCATTTCCTCTCAGTATGGAACTCCTCAGCAGTATACATCCATGACCCCGTATTAAAGGGCATAGAACACAGGACCTTCGGTTCCGGCAGCTAAGGCTTAACATCAAGATCGTTGAGCCGGCATTTAAAAATGTTAGTGTCTCACTTCAATTAATCCACGATATTACGTGACGTTCTTCCGTTGTCTTAGGTAGGTAACTGCCTCACACGCAACATTGTTGAACTTCACTAGTCGATGAAACTCAAAAATCTTCACAGATCTACACCGAAAATTGATTTTTGCCAATGGTTTGTGACATATCGTTATATCACATGTGTTAGTATTTTGTATGTGTTTATTTATTTGAACACATAAACATTGATACAAAGGGGCACCAAATACATATGCGTCACACACCAACAATAAGACCAGTAGCAGTGTGTGAGGTTTGGAATACTACCCTGGCACCCGAACCAAAACAGGTAGTTTTCTTAGGGAACCACACTCAGAGTCTTTGACCTAAAGGTTTAATCCACAACGTTAAGAGGTGCAGTCCCGTGGTAGCCAGTGACCAACAATAGATTCATACGCCATTTGTTCCTTAAGGATTCTAGAGCCCATGTGCACCATTGGTTTGTAATCAGGGTTCCCCAACTTCCTTAGGTGGACCATCCGTGTCCACCAACCCGGTTAAGGCGCTGGATATTCGCTTCTACACATCTCAACTTCGCAATCAATACCCTCTCCGCGAGAAGGCAGTAAGTAGGACTTCCCTGGTAATGGCTGTATACGCGAGGTCATGTAGGAGCATTCCGAGAGGGAGAGCTAACTCTCCCCACCCTTGGCCGTACCAGGGCATTAGGAGGCATTTTGTATGTAACCACGTTGGCTTACTACAATAACTTGTTCTTCTGGCTACTGGTCTTGTCTATGTTCACAAATCATTCGAGGGGGGAGACAAACTTCAACAATTCGGTCTTGTGAGCACTCATCACTTAACCACGTCACATTTGTCCACATCGTGTTTCCATCAGATGTCAACTCGTTTATTTTAACAATTGCAACTCTCATTCACTTATTAAATCCCATTTAATAACGCGAATATTTGAGTTAGTGATAATGTAAGCACAAAAATATATACAGAGAGATGGAGGACCTCCCAATAGATTTTCTAGAAGTTTTATTCCCAACAAAATCAGAAAAGCTAATATAGGCAGATAAATATGTGAGCTCTTGCAAAGTTTGTGATTTAAATTTAATGCTCAAAATTGGGGAATGTACGCATAACTGTTTAAAGGTTCATGTTTATTTAATTGAAATTTAGAAATATTTCTTCGCCTAAATTATTTTCTTCTAAAAAGTTGAACAGAAATTTCGATTTAATGAAGACCAACGTCTCTTAAGAAGATTACGTATTTAAGTAATATTTACATATAATATAAAAATAGCTGTTACACATACACCACTATGAAAGCGTGTCATTAAAACGACAGTTTCTGGTCTTAGATTTTTGAAACCCATCGGAAATCTAATTTTTTATTGCTTTACGATAACCTTTTTCTAAAATCATCTTAACTAACTTCAAAATCTGTTTTCCATATTTACAGTACTTTACACCGAATTGTGATGACATAACATAAATTTAGTTCGACGTCAAATTTTGAAAAGTGATATATATATATATATATATATATAATACGTTACATATGTTTGGCAATGTTTCCGATGTTCAGTAGGAGTTATTCTGTGATCTAAATACTTTGGTTTCCACAATAAACTATAGCGAAGTTTCGAGTGGGTTTTTTTTACTGTAATTACAGATTGTAAGCATTTTATTCTGAGTGTCTAGTTTATGAAACCGAATGTGAATGCTCATATGTAAAACAGTAAACCGTATGACAAGGAACCAATATACACTTGAGGGTAAAACAGATTCTTTTATTGAAGTTTATGAGTCCTGAAGATTCAGCTTTCTGAGTTGCAGCTAAATTTTTATTAGGATTACATTTTAACTAGAATTACTCGCTTTCTTCATGGCTTCAGTTTCCGCGATCAAACGTTACGCTGTTAAGTCCTGATCCCAAAGTAGAACTTCTTTCGAGTTAAGAGCTACTGTATGAATCTCTGTAGTAAGACTGGGGTAACACCACACTCCCCTTTTTGAGATGTATTTGGTGACCCTTAAGTATATTGTATATATGACGATAATTCTTTACTTTCAAACGATTTTGATTTTATCCTACCTATCACGAGTCATGTTTTCATTAAATCGAGTGTCTTAAATGTTTCAAAGTTGGTGTACTTTCCTGACTGACCGCTTCAGTAACCAAGTATAGGTTTATGTAACAAGAATTGAACTATAATAATTTCTAGGACTAGAAATAATACATGACTGTTCGTGACAAAAATGAAATAGAAAAGGATAGTATCATTTTAAAAAATAACCGTTGGATCACAGCTCTCCATGAAAATCTTCTATAACTAGTATACAGTTATTTTAGTCGGTCAATAATATGATAAATTCGACACAATCCTTAAGTTACAAAACATACTCAATACAACACCAGTAAAACGTACCCGATATTGTACAAGAGATTGATTACCGTTATTTACCACCCAACATACTCCAAATAGAATAACAAGAAAGAAAAAGATGCACAGAACTCGAGCTTTTTTTAAATACCGTTTCATCGATTAACTGAAAAATAAGATCGGTTTCCCATAATGGAATAAAAAGGCTATAAGCTCATAGCTAAAACTTGTGAACAAAAAGCATATTAAAGTCACAGAATGAGTATGAAAAATATATCCATACCTAACCAATTCACAAAAATGTTAACACACAGGAAATTAATCGTATAGACTTAGTTACAGCTGAACGGATTGATGATGCATGTTGACCTTCACACCATAGTAATAGTGAATGCATGTAATCTACTGGATTTATATGAGGTGAGTCCATTTACTAAAAAATCGCCAACTAAATATTATAAAACAAGCGCGACTATTTATTACTCTTAGGAGAATAAAATATAAGATTATTTAACAAAATACGGCCAACGGTCTACTAGGTATATGACTATTAGGAAACACAAATCAAAAGTCACTGACAGATTATTGTGATGATCCTTCAATACTTCGCTTTCCTACTAAGAATTTTCGACGTATTACGGATTTTGAGTTTTTAGTAACTGAGCGGTACAAAGTAAAATAAAAACGAGGTAAACAATGAACTGACATGTTCCTTATCCTTACAACTTGAATACCCAAACTGTAGCGCATAAACCAATGAACTAGACGACACGACCTTGTGATAAAGTTAATGTAAATTGGGAGTTGAAAAGCTTCGTTTTTTGTATTGTACTTCAGGTTTAAAATACATCCTATTGCATATCATCCCGTTTTTTATCATACAAATATATGTGTGAGGTAGATTTATATAAGATATTTGAGAGGAAACTTTATAAATCACTTCTCTGACAACGCTAAATAAAAAATCTTATGTTCCAGTGGTTCTGGACGGAGTAGAAGAAGCTTTCACTTAACGGGCCTCCGTATCCAGTAACAGTGGATCACCGATGACCCTAGGTAGGAAACTAGGCATATTGTAGATAAAAGACGAAAAAGAAAAAATGCCGGTAAATCATAGTTAGATACTATCCTCAGTCCTTAAGAATATGTCAAGTATTCTTTACGTGGCTCCTAAGAAGTCTCTTGAACTAACTCAGCCGGCAACAAATCCCAGAATTTGACTACTCATGAAGAGTAGCAGTTGCGCCATTCATCCGCTATTTAAAATGAACAGGGATATTGTTCCTCGTTGAGTTAAATTTACTGTTTTCATCAAAAATTACACATCAAAACTACTGTTCCCACTTCATTTGGATTTATTTCTCTTGAAGTGACGTTGTGCTTGTGTGCAATTGACTTTGCTTTTGTGAATTTACTGCACCGAAGAATACTTGGTCGACTATGACTTGATTTATTGACATTTTTTACAGATCCATCTTTGTGTTACCATTTTTAGTTAACTTTTATGAAGGTCGGCTTTGCTCACAAATGTGGACGGCCATATTGCTTATTCCATGTAGAAGAAAGAGTGCAATGTGACGAATGTAAGAAGTCATTCCATAAGATGTGTACCCGCCTAAATCCTACTGCCTATAAAATGTCTCAAAGCCTAACTCTGATTGGCCTTGTATGATTTATGTTCGAGCTGTTTGATGAGGACTCTACCAGTGACATGGGCACTGGTAGCCAAGAATGCGTCAGTGTCGTAAGTTTTGTTACGGCACGTGCCAGACACCCACACAATAAGGATTTCTATCGCGAAACAACTAATGTGCAATAGATACTAATGACCAAGTTACTACAGCGGCGACTGATGACCCAGACAAAACCATTGTATTCTCATGTAGTTCTGATGTACATGCTGCGACCAATGGGAAATAGATGACGCGAAGAAGGAAAGACAGTCAAAAACAACGCCCGCTTATTTGCAAAGTCCTTATTGGACCCACGTTCTGCATTCCAGATTACTCAGCCAAAGTTCCAAAGAAAAAAATATGCGACCCAATCGTAGACGGGAAAAGTTGGGACTCTTCAAACATTGTCGTGAGTCATTCGCTCGACTCCTACAATTTGTTACTAGAAAAACTGACGGTAAGCCCCAAGCCTATAACGAGTAGAATCTGACGTCACGATCAGAACCCATGAATACGGCTTTCAAAGGAGTTAAACCCGATCCTTGTTCAATTATTTCGAATCTTGAGGAGTGGAAAGACAATGACCCTGCTAAAAGGCATGCACACGATCTGGAGTTAGTGGAATCTGCCATCAGAAATGTAATGCCTGGAAAGGTTTCAGGGGTACATGTCGCGAAAGTAATAAAACTCGATAAATGGGTTGGAAGCAAAACCAACCCAAGAAGGGTCTTGAAGTTGGTACTCGGGAAGTTTGAGGAAAAAGATATAATAATGAGTAACGTATACGCAACTCGTTATTCAAATATTCGTATCCAACCAGATTGGCCGCTTAAATGTCGAATCAAGTGGAGGAATATCATTACGAGCTAAAGACTCGAAAGCTAAATGGCGAAACGAACTTTCCGGTTAAGGGTTTTCAGCTGCTCAGGTCTAGGTAGCCAATACTTCCGAGACCTGTATGGGTAGGACGAATGGTTCTTAAAACACCTTAAATATGTGCCACACGAACACCTGTAGTCTTCGAAATAAAATGTCGTATTTAAGTATGATAGGGGTTGAATGAAGTCCCGATATAATTGTCGCCACAGAAACTTGGCTCGCCGAAGATATAGACTGTTCTTCCATGGTTGCGGACCACATCTGTGCTAGGAGTAATAGGGTATAAGTCGCAAAGAAGGAGGCATAATACTATACTTTGAGGATCACTTTCGTATACAACCAATCATGTCGGAGGCACATGTTAGTGGTACATGTGGGGTAGCATGTTGCACAATTAAGTCCAGAAACGTTTTAGTGACTGTAAGAGGAATACACCATAGTCTTGCTGATGACTTTGTCTTAAGACACGTCTGTTCTTGGGGTAAGACATAATGTTGTCTCATAATTGGAGACTTTAACGCACCGCATTTCAGCTGAGTAGAGCTTACAGTTTCAGGGGGGTTTTGATAATGACTTGATATCAACTACTACTTAGTGTGCACCTGTACAATGTATGGCAAAACCAATACGTATTGACTTGGAACATGATCTTTCATTGCTGGATCGTGTTCTCATACAGAGGCTGTGTTATCTCGACTGAATGGACGGTCGATGCGGTTGGATCGACCGATAATGAATGATGCAAGTTTGAGGCTACATTCGAGTCCGTAACAACATCTTTTACCTCATGGTCAACACGTAAACTATCACATTTCTCTCCATGGAATAATAAGGAAACCTGGAAGCTGTTGAAGAGTAGGAGACGCTCTTGGGACTTTCTCTTATCATCAGGACACGGATAGTTCCAGTGTAAATACCGAGAAATCCGAAATATATGCAAAATGAACATAGCTAGATGCCGCTCTACATATAAAATACAATTAGCACATGACAGCCGTACTTGCCGAAAACGACTGTTTGAGTGCGTTTAGTGGGTAATAAATGTAGTGATGGTATTCTCCTATTACTGTTATACGAAAATTCAGATTTACTAGCCTAATCAGAACTGGCAAAAGCTGAAACTTAATCAAACGATTTCAGCGAAGTCTACTCTACGTGTGTTGTTACAAATAATTGTCCTGATCAAACGGCTGAGATACCAGCCACAAGACATGTTCATATGACTGTGAAAACTGTACTTTTATTGATCGCTAACCTCAAAGCTTGTAAGATACCAGGCCCTGATGGGTTACATCCACGATTGCTGTCATCTCTTGAGCATATTATTTCATGACCACTCATGATGTTCTTCGACATGTCTCCTTCATTTGCTCAAATCCTTAGAGATTGGAAATACGCCATAGTCAGTCCTACATTTAAAGATTGAAAGAGACAGATCGTATCTAATTACCGGCCTGTCAGTCTAACTAGCATAGTAGTTAGGTTACTTGAAAAGATAATCCGGGTTAAGTTGTACATTTAGACAAACTCTTAATTTTGAGCAACATGGGTTACGAAACAAGCATTCAAGTTTGACAAACATCCTTATCGTGAGAAAGCTTTGGACAACAACCCTATATAACGGGCTATCTGTTGATGCTATATTTAAAGAATTCGGAACAACATGTCCTGTACAGTAATGTTTAGAAAACGTCTTATGTGACCACAGACAAAGTGGGAGGGTTAAGGGAACGCTATCTAGATGGAAGCCGCTCAAAAGTGATGTATCCCAAGACACCATCTTAGGTCCTCTTCTTTTCCCTCTCTACGTCAATGAATTACCGCTAATGCTTAGGTCGTTGACATCATTGTTTGTGGATGAGGTCGAAATCTGGAGAACAATAAGAAGCAAGACTAATTATTTGCATCTCCAAGTTGACTTAAATAAGTCAGTTAGATGGGCTCGAGTTGGGGCTTAGAAGCTATTTATAGAAAGCGTGTGCTCATGAACATCGGACACAGTAATAGTTACAATTATACCATTAATGGTAGACCTCTTCCACGCGTTCATGAACATAAAGACTTAGGAGTAATAATAAGTCACCACATGAAAACAAATACGCATTGCAACATAGTAGCTGCCAGAAGGGTTTTATGCGTTATAGTCACCTCGCCGAGCATTCAAACGCTTTGACAAAAAGATGTTTCGAATTTTATATCCCACCTATATAACACCACACTTAGAGTACTGTATCCAAGTAGCTGGCCCACGTCTAGTGATGGGTACTAACTCACCTGATCGTGTTCAGCGTGTGGGAGCAAAATTAGTGAAGGATCTCTCCAAACTCCCTCAAGATGAGCGTTTGAAACGCCTAGTCCTTTTCACCTTGTCGTACCGTAGTCGCGATGTGACCTTGTATTAGCACTTTGTATCTTTAAATATGATTTGGATGTTAATATGTCTTATCCTTTTGCTTCTTCCAGCACTAATAATCTCCGAGGTTATAAAAAGTAGGTTCACAAACCATGGTCCAACAAACTTAAAGTGGGGTCCCGTTTTTCGCATCGAGTGGTCAATGACTAGAACACCTTACCCGAAAAAGTGGTATCAGACCCATCAGTGAATACTTTCAAGAAGAAGTTGGACCTTCACTGCAAAGCAATCTGTTGGGATTAACACCGGTCCATCAAACTGAGAATCACTATGTTATGCCCCCAGCCTCTGGGTGCATGAAAAGATGTGTTTAGGGTGTGTATGTCATAACAATTAATGGTAATCATTTTGCTTAAAACCTCGTCTGACGTCGGGTCCTCAAATTCGACTGTTGGTTACTCATTAGAAAAGAACGTAGACAATGATCCAAACTGGGGCCATTTTTATGATCCAAGCAATTTCTTTGTAGCTTTGACGTTTTTTAATGTTCTCCATCATTTTTAAAACAGTGGTATGGTAGAGCGGTTTCATAGACGTCCTAAAGCTCACCATCACGATTTAGGCGCATCACAATGAGTATACTCACTTCTACGTGTCTTACTTGGAATTGGTAGTATATATAAAGCTGGCACTAAATACACTCATGTGAAACTCATGCGTGAAACTGCTCTCCAACTTCGAGAATTCATGGTTTCCACATCTCCACTAAACGTAAATCTATAAATCTATGTGCGCTGGCTTGAGAGTCCCTACGTCGACACGACCAAATTCACCAAATTTATTGGTTTAACACTACTCAATCCTCGGTGTGCA